AACCATATTGTCTGTGTGCAAGGCAAATGCCCTCCCAGCTGTACTATTGCTCTGGCTCCACTTGAATAAATTCTTATAAAGTTAATCTTTGTGGAACTGGAGCGATAGCAGAGTGGGTAGGTTGTTTGCCTTGCACATGGCCAACCCGGGTTTGATTCCTCTGTCCCTCTCAGAGAGCCCAGCAAGCTACCGACAGTATCCCACCCGCATGCCAGAGCCTGATAAACTCCCAATAGCTTATTCGATGTGCCAAAAACAGTAAGAACAAGTCTCACAATGGAGACATTACTGGTGCCCGCTCGAGCAAATTAATAAATAAATAAAGAGTGTTCAGGCATATTTACATATTTACACAATGAACAAAGAGAGGACAGTGACAGTGACAGATGCCCTCCCAGTAAATAGATTTCTCTCCCCAAATAGAAAAGAAAACAAAAATTTAAAATCTTGATCACAATATGCTAGATAATTGCACATTTAACAGACTAAGAAATTAATGATTCAAAAGTATTCATTTCCAGGGTCCCCGGAGTGATAGTACATTGAGTAGAGTATTTATCTTGTATGTGGTCTACTGGGTGGAATTTCCAAGCACCCCATAGGGTTCCCTGAGTCCCCTAAGAGTGATCTGTAAACATAGAGCCAGGATGAAGTCTTGAGCCAGGTGTGTCCCCCAAACAAACAAAGTGTTCATGTTTTTAGTAAAGTACCTAAACATCTCTTCAAAAATACATTTTTCAACTTGCAGCGTAATAGATAGTATTAGTTTGCTAACTTGCACTTTTCGTTTCATGGAACCTTTTCTCAATAGTCTTATTTAATTTCTCTAAGTCTACAGAAAAGCTGTGTTAATTTGTTTTAATGATTTTGTTAAAAAAATAAGTTAAAAGCTATGGTAGGGCTAGAGAGATGGTTCAAAGAACTCTGTGCATGCTTCGCATACAGGAGGCCCAAGTTCTATCCCTGGCACTGCCTGGTTTTCTGAGTACCACTGGAGCAACCCCTAAACACCGTCAGGGTCCAGCACCACTCCCCCCAGCCCAGGCATTCTTATTAGTATAGCTGAACCCTTTGAGAAGTCAATCTTCCTTATCAGAATGGGGGACATCTTGGTATATCTGTCGATGAAGTCAAGTCTGATATAATTAGATTGAGCTCTTGTTATACTACATGAGGTTTCATGATGGAATGACCAAGATATATCAAGCAGTAACATATGTTGTGTTCCCCTGTTCAGGATCTGTGCACGGATGTGTATGTGTGCCAAATGGCCGCATTTAGATCTAACCTATATCTGCAGAACTGGGTGGTATACTACCACCAGGTGGTACGGTTGCTACCATTGCACAGTCTTGTTAATCTTTTGCTGAAAGTCTAAACTTGGCTTTGGAAGTGGAAGAGAGTGAGCTTTAATTGAAGTAGGCTGCTAAAGGGCTGGAATGATAGCACAGTGGGTAGGGTGTTTGCCTTGCATGCAGCCAAGCCGGGTTTGATTCCCAGCATCTTATATGGTCCCTCAGCACACCAAGAGTAATTCCTGAATGCAGAACCAGGAGTAACCCCTGTGTAATGCTGGGTGTGATACAAAATTAAAAAAAAAGAAGTAGCCTTTTAAGTGGTTAAAAACCCCTAGTTCTGCATTCACAGCTAAAGAGTGCAAACCACAGTACCCAAAAGGAGAGAGAGAACGAAAGGGAATGCCCTGCCACAGAGGCAGGGTGGGATGGGGGGATAGTGGGTGGGAGGGATACTGAGATTAGTGGTGGTGGAGAATGGTCACTGGTGGAGGGATGGGTACTCGATCATTGTACAACGGAAACGCAAGCACAAAAATTTGTAAGTCTACAACTGTATCTCATGGTGTTTCACTAATAAAAATTAATAAATAAATAAAGAGTGTTCAGGCATATTTACACAAAAATTAAGTGAATTACAAATCTAAATGCTAGTATTTTGTTGACTTACTTTCTAATTTAATTTTATTTAGATGTTAAAAAATAGAGTACATTTATGTTCTCATGGATTCAATATTAAGGTGTGTACATAATTATAAGGGCTTTGAAAATTGTTAACTGCAGCTAGAATCCCAGGTTACTTAAATAATTTTTGAGGAGCTGTTTGGTGGTATGTAGCTTTTGAGTTCTCCAGGAAGCTAGTGCCAAGATCATATTAGAAACTGTCTTAGTTGCCTTGAGCTACTATACTAACATAGATAGATTCTCAAGTATAGACTCATTATTATTATGGTGACCAGGACCTTAAAGCAGGGCATTGTTTGTATAGCAGAATATTGAGATTTTTGTGATTGTTTCCAACTTTGATCCATACCAAGGGAAAGTCTGGATTACAATGTATAAATAATTTAAACAAATAAATACAAAATAATTACTTTGTGTCAGGGGTTGACTCAGAAGTAAAGCACTTACCCTGAATGTGTGAAGCCTTGGGTTTCATCCTTGGCACTGCCATGGGGAAAAAAGAAAAGAAATAGAATATTTTCATTTGAAAATATCATTTAGGGGCCAGAGTATTAATACAGCATGTAGGGCTCTTGCCTTGCATGCAGCCCACCCCAGGTTTGATCCCTAGCATCCCATATGGTTCCCAGAGCACTGCACCAGGAGTGATCCCTGAACATAGAGCCAGGAGCAAGCCCTGAACACTGCTGGGTATGGCCCCAAAAAACAAAAACGAAAAAACGTCTGCCTTGCCTTACTAAAGTGGAAGGCCAGGATTCAATATTAAGGTGTGTACATAATTATAAGGGCTTTGAAAATTGTTAACTGCAGCTAGAATACCAGGTTACTTAAATAATTTTTGAGGAGCTGTTTGGTGGTATGTAACTTTTGGATTCTCCAAGAAGCTAGTGCCAAGATCATATTAGAAACTGTCTTAGTTGCTTTGAGCTACTATGCTAATATAGATAGATTCTCAAGTCACAGAAATGTATTTCTTGTAGCTCTGGTGACCGAAGTCCTAGGCTGGAGTGCCAGCATCATCAGATAGCTACTTCTCACTGTGCACTCACATGATGGGGGACAGAGGTGCTGGGGAGGGAGAAAAAGGACTCTGCTGTCTCTTTTACATACAGTAGGGAGTGATAACACAGCGGGTAGGGCGTTTGCCTTGCATGCGGCCAACCTGGGTTCAATTCCTCCGTCCCTCTTAGAGAGCCCAGTAAGCTACCGAGAGTATCCCACCCGCACGCCAGAGTCTGGCAAGCTCCCCGTGGCATATTCAATATGCCAAAAAACAGTAACAAGTTTCACAATGGAGACGTTACTGGTACCCGCTCTAGCAAATCAATGAACAATGGTAGGACTGTGCTACAGTGCAGGGGAGAGTGAGAGAAAGAAAACAAAAAAGAGGGTACTAGCTCTCTAGTGCCATTTGTATGGGCACTAATACCATCATGAGGAACCCCACCTTTATAATCTCACGTGACTCTAATTGCCACCTCACCACCACCAAACACTTCATTTCTAGGTACTGTCATTCTGGGAATCAGAACCTCAGGTGGAAATCTTGGGAGGAGCACACCAGTGCGTCCACAGTGGAGGTACATGAGATTTGGGAGGTTAATGCTTGTAGAGTGAAAAGGGGAAAAGCAGATGTTGGCAGAGAGACGCTTCCAGCCAAAGCAACTGGCTGACCCTGTGCTGGAGAAAAGGAAGAGAGGGCCTGGGGAAGAAGAATCTCATTCTGCAGTTCAGCCGTCACACTTGTCTGCTAGACTCTGTGTGTCCTGCAGCTCGGATTGCTCTCAGAGGAGTCACACTTGGGGCAGGCAGAAATGGGTGTCTATTGCCCCTCCCTTGCTCAGTCTTTGGCTGGAGCAGCCTAAGGAAGCGTAGGCCCTGGGAAATGCAGGGGTGAATTCAGAGCGTGGCAGCTGGGACGTCAGTTGTTACAGCAGCTGGCATGTAAGCACCACATTGTCACAGCTAGCACAGGGTTTTATATATACATATATATATATATATATATATATATATGTTGCATGCAGTGACCCCAGTTTGATCCCCAGTACCTCATGGTCCCCTGAATTCAGAGCCAGGAGTAAGCCTTGGGCACCGCCAGGTGTGGCCCCAAACCCCCCCACTCACTCTCCAAATTATAAAATCACTAAGAGTTGTGGTCATCTTTCTGGACTTTGTGTGGTTTAAGAAAGTAAAGTACAAATGAGACGCTGAACAGGTTAGTCATGAATGACATAATTTAACATTTTTCATTTAGTACAGTTCCCAGCGGCTGGAGCGATAGCACAGCGGGTAGGGCGTTCGCCTTACAAGTGGCCAACATGGCCGACCCGAGTTCGATTCCTCTGCCCCTCTCGGAGAGCCCGGCAAGCTACCGAGAGTATCTCACCCGCACGGCAGAGCCTGGCAAGCTCCCCGTGATGTATTCGATATGCCAGACACAGTAACAACAAAGTCTCCAATGGAGACGTTACTGGGCCCGCTCGAGCAAATCGACGATCAACGGGAGGGCCTTTACCTTTTACCTTTACAGTTCCCAGGAGCCATAAAGAAAAGTGTTGTTTGGGTTGAAGGCCTGTTTCCAATAACCCTACAGGCTGGCTTTACACTTATTTTATGTCCTAACTGGCAATTGCTGCTGCCTTGATTTTTTTTTTCTTTTTGGGTCACACCCGGCAATGCACAGGGGTTACTCCTGGCTCATGCACTCAGGAATTACCCCTCGCGGTGCCCGGGGGACCATATGGGATGCTGGGAATCAAACCCGCGTCGGCTGCGTGCAAGGCAAACGCCCTACCCGCTATGCTATCACTCCAGCCCCTGCCTTGATATATTTGAGTCCCTTAAGCATCGTCAAAAATTAGTCTCTGGATGAAGGATCCAGCTCCCATCCTCTTGCGGCTTCAAAGGCGCATACAGGTGGTGGCTGGTCCTTTGGGAGAACTGTGTTGGAAATGGATAGGAGCTGAGCAAATGAAATGGCGTTTCACTGTAGACATGTGTTCTTGGTTGTCATTACAGAGACATCAGCTAAAGAAGGGCTGCTGCTTTGGTGTCAGAGGAAAACCGCTCCTTACAGAAATGTCAACATTCAGAACTTCCACACCAGGTGAGCAAACAGGAACCCCATCCTGATAGTCCTGCTGGGATTGGCTGATGGTGGGAGAGCGGTGTGCTTTCAAACTACACTTTCCTTCCACCTGTCTGAGAAGCAGTGAAGTTCAGTAGAGGTTTTGATGCTAAGGGCTTCTCTGGAAAAAGCTTTGGATTAAGGTTTGGGATGCCGCAAAACAGCGCTGTATTTAAAAGGGAGTATCAATCCCTAGAGAAGCCTTTGGAATTTGGGGGTACAGGTACACACTGTGGTTTTTCCCTCCCTGCCAGGAAGAGACGGTAGGTGGAATGTCTTAATAAGGAGACACTGAACACTGAACTTAATAAGGAGACAGTGAACGAGTCTGCAAATCCTGGTGTACTTGGGCAACCCAGGTTCAATCCCCAGCACCCCACATGGTCCTCCCGAACTCACCAGGAGTGATCCCTGAATACAGAGCCAAGAATAATCCCTGAGCATCGCTGGATGTGGCCCCCCAGATAGATACAAATTTAAAGGAAAATGTGATGTGGACATCTCAAGGTGTTGGTTCTTGTGTAGTTCACGGGGCAGCTTGGGGGCAGGTTCTGGGATGGAGTCTTGGAGAAGAGAGAGGAGGAGGAAATCGGGACAAGAAGGCTGTGGCTGACCCGGAGAAAAGACCCTGCGCAGAGAGGCTTCTTGCCTGCCACCTGCATAGTTCTTCTGATACCGTCAGATGAGGGCAGGGGAGGGGAGGCATGGCAGGCAGCTGCATCTGAAGCTGTGAACTTGGAAAGGATACCGGGCAGGGGGTCGTCCTCCATGTCTCCAGGGCCCCGCTGCCACTTTCTCTCTGTTAACACCTGTTCCTCTTCTCAACTCTTGTGCAGCTGGAAGGACGGCCTTGGACTCTGTGCGCTCATCCACAGACACCGGCCTGACCTCATTGACTACTCAAAGCTTAACAAGGTCATTCTGGGCCCCAGGCATGCAGCGTTCCCGCCTGCCCACAGCATGTTGTCCTGAAAATGAGCACATCAGCACTGAGCTTGTACAAACACGGTGGCTGCCACAGCAGCGTGTCCCAGCGCAGCTCACACTGTGCGTGAAGGGCAGCCAGGAAGATACTTACTGGCTCTAATTAGGATTGGGCAAGGTCCAAAGCAAGTCACCCCTTCTTTGCCAAACTAATAATGTGTTTGACTGGGCTTGATTTAACTATGAAGGCACTGTGTGCTGCTCAGAGACTTTCCATTTCTATATTTTAAATATTAGAAGGGAAGTATAAGTTGAAATGGGAAGTGATTAGGGGAGAAGAAAGATTTAAATATTCAAACCTTTTAAGTTATATTTCCTTTCCTGCAGGAGCTTTTGCAGTCTTCTTTGCTCATAATTACTTATTGCCTCACAAGCCAGGGCACATTATCAATAACTATTGATGTAAGATATTAATTATAGCCTTCACTCTCAATTTCAGCTTTGACTACCAGAGGTAGCACTGTAGCTCTCGTTCATCGATTTGTTCATGAGGGCCCAGTAACGTCTCCACTTTGAGACTTGTTGTTACTGTGTTTGGCGTATCAAACACGTCACGGGTAGCTTGCCAGGCTTTGCCAAGTGGGCAAGATTCTCTCGGTAGCTTGCCGGGCTCTCCAAGAGGGGCAGAGGAATAAACCCGGCTCGGCCAGGCCGGCCTCTCACAAGGCAAATGCCCTACTGATGTGCTATCACAGAAAATTCTTTCAGAATTTTTTTCTTTATTTTTTCCAGAAAATTCACCTTAAGTCATTTTAATTCTGGGGACCAGAGCGGATAGTACAGTGGGTAGAGCATTTACCTTGCATGCGGCCGACCCAGATTTGATCCAAGGCATCCCCTACAATGCCCACAGCACTTCCAGGAGTAAATCCTGAGTGCGGAGCCAGGAGTAACCACTGAGCATCGCCGGGTGTGGCCCAAAAATAAATAAATAAATAAGACACTTTAATTCTCCCTATAAGCTTAAGTGTGCAGAATTTTCCAATAGTTTTTGAATTATTTCTTTAGAAGTAATTTTAAAATAAAATCTGTGAGTCCAAGCGATAGCACAGCGGGTGGGGTGTTTGCCTTTCACACGGCCAACCTGGGTTTGATCCCCGGCGTCCCATATGTCCCACAAGCACCGCCAGGAGTAATTCCTGAGTGCAGAGCCAGGAGTAACCCCTGAGCATCATCGGGTGTGACCCAAAAAGCAATAAAATAAAAATAAAATAAAAAATGTGTTAGAAAAAAGAGAGAGAGAGAGAAATTTATGCCCGGACTGGAGAGCTAGATGAACGGGCTGAGTGCTTGCACAACATGCTTTGCATGGGGAGGCCTGGGTTTGATCTCCCAGCACCTCCTAGTTCCCCCAACACCATCAAAGTGGCCTCTGAACGTCACTGGGGTCACCCTTAACACACACACATGCACGCACACACACACAGACACACAGCTTTAAATTTTGTGGAGGATACTTTATGGTGCCCTCGATCTAGTGCCCTGTGAAGATTTCAGACTGAAACATTGCCTTCCAATAAAGCACAAGTGTCAGTTCTAGCATATTCCTCTTGTGGTTGATGTGCTTATCTGACTAACCCTGTTGTGTTGCTGTGTTTTGGTGTGAAATCTGGCCCTGTTGCATGCTGCCTTGCCCCTGTGTGCCATAGGTCACCTGCCTGCCACCCTGCTCCTGACCCATGTCTATTGGAGAACACAGGAAGAATATATTTTGTATCCTAAAGATAAATTCCACAGTACGGTAGTGGAAGGTTGCTGCAGAGAAGAGAGAACCCACATTTTCCAACTTTTTAAATCATATAATCCTTGTATGCCTGAGCTATTTTGAAGTGTTTCAAATGTAGAGACAGTATATAATTTTTCAATGCCTCTTTATCGCATTTATAAATGAGGATTATACTAGACAGTCCAGTGAGTCAGGGATGAAGCTCAGTACCTACCTTGCATGTATGAGACTTTGGACTGTACCCCAGCACTACCACTCTCCCCAAAAGAAATCAAACATGTACTATGGAGACCTCATTTCACTAGTAATTTATAATGGTCAGTTTTGATTACAGAAGGTCAACATACCATTAGTAACTGATTCTCTAAGACTAGTTTAAAACAAAGAATAATAGATAACAATAGCAGCTAAAATTTACAGAGCTTAGATTAGGCAGTTATAAATAAATATGTGGATGTGAATGTTAAATATTTATATGACATACATACATACTCTTTACTCTTCATAATACATAGTGAAATAAAATATAATGAGTGCAGAAGAGGTACTATTATTATCCCAGTTTTATAGTTGAAGGAAGTAAAGAATTAGTCATCTGCCAGTGATCACATGGCCGGTCACTGAGTCGAGAAAGTGCTGAATTGCCAAATTTTATCTCTTAGGATACAGCCTAAATGATATAACTTTCACAAAGTCTCAGAACCATTAGTCTGTATTTTTAATGCTGAAGACTTTCTTGTATATTAAAAACAAAAAGAAACTTGTACTCAGCTGTTTGGCTGTTGTGAGCATTTGCTTTCAGATGCAGGTAAGACTCCCCATGGTATTGCTCCTCTCAATAAAAAGATTATATGCTTTGTTAAAACAACATTTAGCCAAAAAAAGACTTTTTGTCTGAAATAATTGTATGTGCTGGAACACCAGGAAGCTTATTTTGCTTTCTTTGTTGTGCACTGTGACTGTGTTTTGAAGCTTGCACTTTGGAATGTTTCATCCTGTTAAACACTGCCATTGCAAAGACTGCAATTTCTAAAATGTGAAAGTGGCTTGATTTTTGAACACTTAAAGTCATTCTAGACTAACTTTCTTTGTCAAAAACTTTTCCTTTTCCTTTCTTACAGAAACCATCATTTCAGATTCATAATAGCGAATCACTTAAATCAAAACAAAGAGTGTTTAGTCTTCTAATGTTTTTAGCATTTCAGTTGCACAGCTTTGGTTAAATTTATTTTGTATGATCTATATTAATAAGTTGAAGTCAAATGTAAAGCATCAGAACTTCTATTTTTATTTGCTATTTTAATTTTGCTATTTATTTATTTATTTATTTTTAGCTTTTAACATCATTGAAACACAGTGTGTGCCCTTGTTGGCATCTTGTTATACCTGGTCTTAATTTTTTCTACTTCTTTATTCCTTGGCTTTTGTATATATGACACAAGGGTGTTGACCTTCATGATCACCTTTAAGATCTGCAAATGTATGTTTTGTGGCTTTTTATAATCACATTTTTATTATTAATAGAGCTGAAAATAAACTTTGATGGGATAACGGTATATTTTCCTTTCCATGAGAAAAAATCTGACTCTTTTCCTCCCATTCACAAAGCACTTGTTCTTCTAAGCCTTTTGCTCACATTTTATTGATTGAAGTGAGCATGGATTGTGTGGGTTTTGTTTGATTTTTTTAATTTCTTTAAATGTTTGAAGTAATTGGGGAAAGTGGAGAAAATAATACTATTATGGTTAGCTTGGGATTGGAAGGGCTCCTCCTCTCAGTTGAAAAAAAAAAATCGTTTTCCTTAAGTCTTGTTCCAAACATATACTAGGAGAAACAAGTGGTAGAGTGCTTGCCTCTGCATATTTGAGGCCTGGATCTGATCCCTGTTATTCCCCCCCGACAAGCCCTCCAGTGTTTTAAAAACTGGTTCTGCTGTTTCCCATGCAGGATGACCCAGTAGGAAATATTAACCTGGCCATGGAAATTGCAGAGAAGCACCTGGATATTCCGAAAATGTTGGATGCTGAAGGTGAGATGAAAACTGTGATTACTGGTTTAGATAAAGTCTGGACTACACATGTCTTAAGCATGTATAAAGATCATAGCAATTTATTGCCAAGTTACATATGAAGTCTGTAGGACTCCTAAGAAGTTCTTTCCACTGATCACATAACTATTAGAGAATTTCATGTGTAACTTGTATATGAATTACATCTGTTGGGGCCGGAGTAAGGCATTTGCCTTGCACACTACCAGCATGGTTTTGATCCCTGATACCTCATATGGTCCCCTGATCCCACTAGGAATGATCCCTGAGCATAGAGACAGGAGTAAGCCCTGAGTAACCCTGGGTGTGGCCTCCCCCCCAAAAAACCAAAATAACATTTTTCAATCCTGTTAAAGAACAAACTAGCAAAAGTGGAATAAAAAGCTTTGGTAAAGGGTTCAGTGGTGGTAAAAAAAAAAAAATAATGATTTCATTTGCGATTTTTCTTGAAAAAAAACTTTGTTTTCATTTTTCAAACAACACACTAGATTTCTATTACTACATTGAGACAAGTTTAGCCAAATAGTCTAATGCACTTAAAAGTCTACCTGCCCCAGATTCTTCCAATGACAAGTTATAAAATCAAAATATAGAATATGGGATATTAATTATCAACATACCTCTTAAACTACAGCTCCCATTTTTTATTTTCCTGAGTTGAATTTAATGCCCTTAGGTTGGAAAGAACACAACGTTTTGCAGGTTTAGCATTACTTCTTCCGGGAACTAGTTTCAGACACCTCTTGTACCCTCTTTATATGTGATGAATTTATATGAATCGTATCTGTGGCTCACCACTTGCAGCACAGATATGTGAAGCATCTATTCATTTCACTTGTTCATAATTCACTTTCCTCTCAGCTGACCTGAGCACCTACTCGGAAAAACAACACCTTCTGTTGGGTACCAGAGGAAATAATGATATGTAGGACTGTGCCTTCAAGGAATTAACATTCTGTGCTTGTTGTTAACATCACTGTTCCTTGAGTCTACTGGGGAATGAAGAGGAATCCTTCTTAGCATTGTTGGAGAAAGACAAAGGACTTCACTGTAGTCCATAGACAATCTTCTGTTCCTTCTTATTTTTGGTGATTGCATTATACTTACTGTAACAAATTACCACAAGCTGATGACTTTAAACAAGAGCCATTTCCTAGGCTCTTGTTTTGGAATTCAGGTGTTTGCAGGGCTACAATGCCTCGGAAGACTTTAGAGGAGGAACCTTCCTTGCTTCTTCCAGGCATTCTTTGGGGTGTCACAGTATCACACCCATCTTTGACTCTGCCTTTCTATGGCTGTCTTCTCTGTGTCTGCCTTGGTGTCTCTTTCCCTCCTGTTATAAGGACACAAGTCACTGGATTAAGAACACTTTCTACTCCAAAATGACCTCATATTAACTTGACTATGTCTGCAAAGACCCTTTTTCCAAATAATGTCACATTTATAGATATGGGAGTAGGACTGAAACATATATTTGGGGAATAACATTTACTCTCTCACAGTGACATTTACCCTCTCATAGTAAGATTCTCATTTTCCCATTTATTAATTTAGTCATCTTTTCCTACACCTATATTACTGGGTGTTAACACTTGCCTCTACTCTTTAGAACTCTGCTTACTCTTTATAGGGTGAAAATCAATAAGACAGTGGAAGTAGCAACATAGAAGTTTATTTTGCTTTTAGGGGGGAGGATTGGTCTACACTCTGTAGCTCTTAGGACTTATTCCTGGCTCTGCTCTCAGGACTCACTCCTGGGATGCTCTAGGAAACCATACGTGCTGCCCAGAAATGACCAGGGATTCACCATAAGCAAGACAAGTGCCTTAATTCCTGTAGTATCTCCCTAGTCCCCTTTTCCTTTTTAAAAATATACCTTCTCTAAGTTAAGTTTACATTTATGTCCACCATTGATTATTCTACATGGTAAATAACCACCAAGTTTATTCACTTGAACTAATAGCTAGTCTACTAAAGAGAGGAGAATGCCAGAGGGATTTAGTGAATTCACTTTCCAGGTTGTTAATATCTCTGCCATATAGTAGATAGAAGGTGAGCTTGGTATCATCACCATTATTAGTCTGGTATGCTAACATTCTTCTCAGTTCTTTGGTTTTTTCCTTTCTCAGGGTCCTGGTCTGGGCACCCATGAATTCTGATTTTCCTTCAAGGATGATGGATTGTGTTAGTTCTGGGTTCTTTTCCCCCTCCCTTATCATCCTGCTCTTACTTGTCATCCTGTTTCCTTTCTATTGGTTCAGGAAAAATACTTAATATATTTTTTCTTTTTAAAATAATTTCTTCTGTGAAACTTCCGCCAAGAGCTACAAAGTTAACCAGCTTAGTCATGCATCAGGCATTTCTGGTTTTCACTATCCACAGATGACCCCCATGTGCGATGCCTCATAACTTTGCTGCCTATGTTTGGACTTGGCCATCTCCACAGATGAACATGTTTTTATTTCCGGCCTCTCTTTTACTTTAATGACACACATTGGTCTCTTAGTTTGCTAATGCTCTTGAGAGAGTCTTGGTTTCTTCCTGTCTACTCTCTGACCTTATTGCTGGCTGTATGGCTCTCTAAAACTGAAATGATATTCTTGAGTGGCTAACGGGCTACTTTACCCCTCAGCCTGTAGTAAAATTCATCAAGACTCTTCCTCACCTGAGCTGTATTTCAGGGCTTTAAAAAGTTATAGAAGTGGTTTGTTCTGTTTTTCTTCACAGGCTCTGTTTATTCCCCTGAGGTGAGCCCCGGATTTAGATTAGTGGGTACATATGTTCTGTGTTGAATTGTAAAAGAACTGAAGTTCTCTGGGAATGCTGTGTGCGGTTGTTTTATTTTTGTTTTTGTTTTGAAATTCTTCAGGTCTAATTCTTGCCACAGGTGTCACTCACCTGAGTTAGCCGTGCTTTTATCTTTGGCAATTCTCAGAAGTGAACAGGACACAGTACGTGTGCAGGTGTGACTTCTTTGATGTGAACCAGAGTTTTAAAAACACGGAGTGGCATGTAGGGGCTCGGGGGTGGTGGTGGATGGTTCATTTACTTTGACTCCTCTAAGGCAGCCCTTAGCAAAAGCTGCTGGTATTAGAACATCCTAGCAGTTAACCTTCTTTTCTCCACACAGATTTAGTATATACTGCCAGACCCGATGAGAGAGCCATAATGACTTATGTCTCCTGTTACTATCATGCTTTTGCTGGTGCACAGAAGGTGAGGATGTAAAACATGAGTCACCACTCACCCTTCACCTTCTGTGTCTTGATTTTTTTAATTGTTTCTTTCTTTTTGTTTTCCCCGCATCTCCTCTGAGTAAGGAGACCCATCTGGTTCTGAGGAAATAGTCATTTGTCTTTTATAGTCTAGTTTTCTTTGACACTTACTTTCTGTCCATGCAGTAGTATGCCATTCATGTTTGTTTTCCAGAAGGTTCCACACTGTTACACAATCCTACATCCTTTCTATTAATATCCTCTGAAAAATCCAATGACTAGGTTTCACCTTGGGGAATGACAAGGTATTTTTTTGAACTTCACTCTGTCCAGTGACTGATTGGAGTTTAAAGTTAAAAAGCCCTTCACCAATAAGTCCTATATCCAAGGTAGCAGCAGAAAGGTTGTGTGTTCACATGGTTCTGTTTTCTCTCTAATTGATTGTTTTTGGCAGCTCATACAAAAATGGCACCAAGAGTCATAATAAGCACAAGCCATGCATAACCTTCTCTTTAGACGTTTTACCACTCTTGGTGATTTCTATTAATGGCATGGTAAGTATGTATAAGCATGTAAAGATACACCCCCTTCGTTGAACTCATCCTTGCACACCAAAGCCATCCACAGAGCAAAACAGCCAACGGTGGATGGGAAAACAGCAGGAGAGATGGGGACTTGGGGCTGTACTAGTTTTCCAGCATTTTGCAAAGTGACATATGTAGCTCATAATAAATGTGGCAGATGATATGAAGCAGTCCAACGAGGGGCAGGTGTGGACCTCACAAGTCTTTGGGACGAGGTGACAAGTTCTGATAAGTGGCACACGGTTCCCATTAGAATGCCTTTACCGTACTTTTCAAAGTTCATCAAGGAAGAAGGAAGAGAAAAACCATAGTTGATTATTATTTTAAAAAATGCTGATTCAAGACCAGGTTGAGCATGAATGTCAGAGGTGTTAAGCCTTTCTGAGATTTAGAAAATTCAGGGGGCTTCAGAAACACACAGAAAACCAATCAGTGTAAACCAATTTGTTCTTCCCTTTGTTACCCCTGGTTTCTACTCTTCATCTGTGTGTGTGCTTGTTTTCTGTGTTATTTTTCCCCCTTCAGACATTGTGAACACTCCCAAACCTGATGAAAGAGCTATCATGACATACGTTTCCTGCTTCTACCATGCTTTTGCGGGAGCAGAGCAGGTATTCAACATATCCATCCTGTGCTGCTCTTCTGCATCAGTTTTAACTGTGTGTGTGTATATGTGTGTGTGTGCACTCATACTACATGGATGTGTGTTTGTGCACTTTGCATATTACCTTGGAAACTTTTTCTAAGTGTTCTGTAATTGTTGCAATGCTGGGTTCCAAATGGAATATATTTTTTGTAACAGCTTTTCATTTTAGACAGTTCCTGCGTGGCTTTATCTCTCCTTCCTTCTGAGGGGTTACTTTCACTTCTTTGGTCCTAAACATTTATGTCTTAGGAAGAGAAACATAACGTGCCATGAAAACCACGCCTCATTTACTGAGCAGTAAAGAGAGATGCAACAAGGAAAACTTAATTGCTTTTCAGTGTTCCTCGTTCTCTTAGAAGTTGCTTTGCATGTTCAATATTTGTTCAAACATTTTTCAGAACTAATCTTAACTAAAACAGCAAATGGTGTTAAAAAATTTTTTTTAAATGTATTCATCAAGTCACTCTGAGGAAACTGTAGGTGACCTTTAGATTTCTCCTTATTCGGGGCTGGAGTGATAGCACAGCGGGTAGGGCATTTGCCTTGCATGTGGCTGACTTGGATACGAGTCCCAGCATCCCATATAGTCCCCTGAGCACTGCCAGGAGTAATTCCTGAGTGCATGAGCCAGGAGTAACCCCTGAGCATCACCGGGTGTGACCCAAAAAAGGAAAAAAACATTTCTCCTTATTCACCTGTGTTTGTTTCCTGTCCTTTTCCTGACACAACTTTACTCAGAAAATCCCCACAAACTGATCTAGGCAGAGTATATAATACCTCTGTGATCCCCATCCCCTTTATGGCTACCCACAGCTAGTAATGACAACTGTAGTTCAGCCCATCTTTGCAGCTTTGGACTTCAGACGGGAGACGTTTGGTCAGGCTTAGGTAAGCATGGCAGCCCAAATTTGCAAGTTGTACTTGATTCATCACATGATCGTGACTCAAGGCCCAAGTTCCAGAATAAGAATAGAGAATTACGTATTTATCTGAAAGTTGTCTCCTATAGGTTATATAAAACCCTACATCTAGTTCAGCTCCGTGGAAAGATCCCCTAGAGCAAAGCCCCCATATTTATTTCAGGAAAGGACAAGAGTGAATTCAAAGGGGCTGGAACCATAGCACAGTGGGTAGGGCATTTGCCTTGCACTCGGCTGACCCAGTATCCCATATGGTCCCCTGAACACTGTCAGGAATAATTCTTGAGTGCATGAGCCAGGAGTAACCCCTGTGCATCGCCGGGTGTTATCCAAAAAGAAAAAAAAAGAGTGAATTCAAGGGCAGTGACCTATGTCTTTGGGACCCCTGCATTTTTGCTTTGGTTTCCCAAGACTGTCCTCACCCTGTAGTTAGGAGGGTAGTAGAACACTCAGTTGAAAATTCCGGGACTGGAGATGCTGGATGTCCTTGACCCAATTTATTTCTGTTACTAACTTGCTTGATGTTTTCCAAAGTTTGTGTTTTAGACTAATGGTATCTCCCCATTATTCCCTACAGTATATTCAGCCTGCCGTGTAAGTCTGTGTGAAAACTGTAAACAAGGTGTGAAATGACTCATAGTATTCAACAGCCATATACGCTCAATCTTACTCCACCCTAACCCGGAATCTGCACCATTGACAGCACGCCACCCCCCTCATTCCCTCCCATGCCCCGCCACCTTCAGTTTTGTGTATCACCTCCCTGTCGACAGAGCTGTCCTGTTTACCTATTGTGTTTTACAGGCTGAGACAGCGGCTAACAGGATATGTAAGGTTCTTGCTGTGAATCAAGAGAATGAGAGGCTGATGGAAGAATATGAGAGGCTAGCAAGTGAGGTAAAGGAAACGGGGTGACCTGCAGTCCTGTCCATACCCCACCCCCCACACAGAGGGTGAGGCACAGAGGGTGAACATGGATCATCAGGGCTTTTTATTTTTCTTTGCATTTTTTTTCATCTCAGGTGGAATAAAAATTGAGCTATATACACTGGATCTCAGAGACTGTCATCTTATAGCAACATAACGATCAGCACAAAAGTAATCCCGATGATCTCTCTAACCATTCCATAGCCTAGAGGTTGTCTGCGTGTTTGGAGAAGTAGACTGTGATTCCATTCTCAGCTTTGCACCCCTAGCATCGAACTCCCCTAGATGACATTGCATTGTTTGTTGGGTTTTTTTCCTCTGCTTCGTTGGCCACTGACATCACACACAATATGCTCTCCATGTTCCGAAGCCTTGCTCCACGCAGTGACCCAATGTCAAAGGAACAAGTCTGGCCTATTGTGAGACATGGCTCAGCTTCGTGTGTGCAAAAATATCAAGAGGAAGTAGAAGGAAGACAGAGCCTCCTTGCAGGATACTTGAGCATAGTTTTTTCTGATATCTTTCTTCAGCTCTTCAGCCAAGATTCTTGCTTAGAATAGCACTTTTGAGTTGCTCTTCTTTTTTGTTCTTATCAGAGCATAAATGGAAACTAAGCCATCTCATTACTGCTACTACATAGTTTTCCCAGACCAGTCACAGGACAAATACCATCCACAGCACGTCCTCTCTAGAAGGAACTCAGTCACCATGACACCTCTCAGAGACCATATGATTTTTGCTGTGATTTAATGTAGTTCATATTTGGTCTGTACTGGGAAAAGTGTCAGGACACTTGGAAGAGATCTTTCCAAGTTTAATCTAATCCATAGAGAACGAGTTTTTTATTTTCATACTACTGCTATGGGAAAATTCATTTCAATGTCATTGTTAAATTCCAGTCATCTTCAGGGTTGAAATGTGGCCAGAACTGAAGGACAGATAGATGATCTTCAGTAATTATATCCTCCCTTTTTGTGTTCCTTCACTTCTTAGTGGTTTTATAACAGCTCATATCTAAGAACTTAGTACTGATGAAGGGGCTGGGGGGGGGGGTGTTTCATCTTTAGGAATTCACTCTTAGTTTTTCTTTTATCATGTGAATTTCCTCAAGAGCTAGATATATTAAGTTAAAATGCACTTTGACATTGAGTTAATCCCAGTATACAAGACATTTGTGTAGTAAATGAATTCATTAGATTTGAGCTTGTTAAAATCCAAGTATGTTTAAAGTTAAACCTATTCTTTGCTGATCTTATTACAATGCATTCTGCCATGTCAGGTTTTGTTTTTGTTATTTTTTTAATTATAATTTGAAAGCTCCATTCAGCATTTGTCTGCTAATGTCTAGTCCTCAAGTTTCCTGTATATGTCCCGTTTTTGTGAAACATGACTTGTGTTGACTTTAAGTTTTCAACTTGTATATGGTACCTTTGGGATTGATCACTAGTGGCCATGGGTTGGACGCTGAAGTTCTCCATTGTGCTATTGTACGCCAAAAATGGCCTTTCTACTCCTTGCTGTCATGGGTATTGTAGTCCTGCTTCTGAAATTTTAGGAACACCAAGTTAACCCATTCCAAAGTGTTAGGTGCCCATGTTTTCAAAGGGGAGGCAGCTGGGCAGTGTGTTCAGCAGTATTTTTATGTTTGGCAAACAGCTTTTGGAATGGATTCGCCGCACCATCCCCTGGCTTGAGAACCGGACCCCTGAGAAGACCATGCAAGCCATGCAGAAAAAGCTGGAGGACTTCCGGGATTACCGTCGGAAGCACAAGCCCCCGAAGGTGCAGGAGAAGTGCCAGCTGGAGATCAACTTCAACACCTTGCAGACGAAGCTGAGGATCAGCAACCGTCCTGCTTTCATGCCCTCTGAGGGCAAGATGGTGTCGGTGAGTGGTCCAAGGGAGAAGGCCTTCCTCGCTTCCGGGGAAACCCCACCCAGCTTGTTTTCTGGTTGGTTGATTTCTAAATACTTTCTCTGGTGGAAAGTTGAGGAAGATACATGAATTTCTCTAGTCTTTCCAGTCATTTCTATCTATGAGTGCAAGTTTGGCCCTGTAATCCTTTAATTCTTAATGTTTTTCTCCTTAGCATCAGCAATTCTGAATTTGTAAATGCTTTTACATGGTGCCCAATAGGCTTTTGTATAGTTTTTTTGTTGGTCTTTGATTTGGGGCCTCACCAGATGGTGCATGGGGATTACTCCTGACTCTGTGCTCAAGGGTCACTCCTGGCTCTGTTCTCAGTGGCCACTCCTGCTATTGCTCAGGAGTCTGCATATGGTGCCAGAGATTGAACTGGGGCTAAGCCCCATGTATAGTCAGTGCTTAACCCTTGTTATCTCTCTCTGGTCCCATTAGTAGAGTTGTGGTGAATGACCTTTGTTTACTACTTTCTTCCTCAGGAGTTGGCCTTATCTTTCTTTGCCAGGTATACCAGCTTCTAGGTCCTGTGTGGTCCTTAATTGCTTATGTTACCACCTATCCAATTCTTCTCCTTCAGACCTAGTCCTATCTTAACTTCCTGTATCCACATCATCAGTTTCTCCTGCTTCTTGAATCACTCAGATAAGCATATAGAAATAACCTAGAATTTGGCAAACAGAAGTTAAGATCTTTGACTTCACATCTCCCTGGAACCATGGTCCTCTTGTTCCAAAGACCATCCAGAAAGTTTTTTAAGCTGCTTGTTTTTAACTCCATCCTGACCCTTTGCTACTTTCACTTTTCACTCTGCAGTCATCTGGTTTCCTTGCTTTATCTCCCACTTCCACCAAGACTGTTCTCATCAGGGTCAGTAGTATACATCCTAACACTCCAGTCACCATTTTAATTTTCATATTCTCTGTAAACATTGGGGCAAGAGCAAAAAATACAGCTGGTAGGACACTATCCTTGCACATGGCCAACCCAGGTTCAATCCTGGCATCCCACACTGTCCCATGAGCTTCACCAGGAGTATACTCCTGAGTGCAGAGCCAGGAGTAACACCTGAGCACTCTCAGGTGTGGCCGCCAAACAAACAAAAAGCATATTCTCTGTAGTTTCAATACCCTTAACCGTTACCTCCGTTTTTGAGATGCCGTTTGCTCTTGAACTTACTATTTTCTCCCACCTTTTCAAGGCTTTCAAATCATTGCTCAAAGCTTTGCCTCCCCTGCCCCTAACCAAAATAATAATAAGAAAGAAAGAGAGAGAAGGAAAGAAAAAGAAAGGAAGGAAGGAAGGAAGGAAGGAAGGAAGGAAGGAAGGAAGGGAATCACTAGCAGTGCATGTACCCTGAGCACTGCCAGGAATGACCCCTGAGCACCACCAGGTGTGACCCAAGAACTAGGGAAAAGAAAAAAAAAAGTGAAAACCTACACAAGCCTTTTTCCATATCTGAACAAGTGTTATATACTTACAACTGAATGAGATCAACTTTAAGAACTCTGGTGAGGACCAGAGTGATAGCATAGTGGGGAAGTGTCTTGACTTATATATGTCCAACTGAGGTTCAATCCCTGACACCCCATATGGTCTCCCAAGCCCTACCTGGAGTGATTACTGAGTACAGAACCAAGAGTATACCCTGTATACTGCTGGGTGTGCCCCCCCCACCAAGAAAACTAAAACAAAATAAAGACTCTGATGATAATGCCAAACTATTTGATGTTAAGCCAGTTGAATGGTCGGGAGGCATGGCAAGGAAAGGAAAACACTGCCAAACAGTTAGAGGAGGAGATTTTTAGAAGCCTAGATGACTGGTATATAACAGACACCTCTCGCTTATCCTCAAACCATCCCAGGATATTGCTGGTGCCTGGCAGAGGCTGGAGCAGGCAGAGAAAGGCTATGAGGAATGGCTTCTCAATGAGATCCGGAGGCTGGAGCGCTTGGAACATCTGGCGGAGAAGTTTAGGCAAAAGGCATCCACGCATGAAACATGGGCTTACGGTAAGTAGCCCAGGCACCTGTGCAGGGTTTTTAGGCTGTGTGTGTTGGTGGGGGGAGGGGGAAGGGGGAGAGTGTACACCCGGCTGCTCTCAGAGCTTACTCCTGGTTCTCTGCTAAGGACTCAGTCCTGATGGGTTTGGGGAACCATAGGTGGAGCTGAAAATTGAACTGAGGTCGGCTGCGTGCAAGGCAAGCTTCCTACCCACTGTACTGTAGCTCGGGCTCCTTCATTGCAGCATCACAGTTGGTCTGCAGACAGCCATGCTTACTGCTTATTCTGTTCCTGCTACCTGTGACCCTGTGGCACCCTGTGGAGGCGTCCTGCCCTCCATGCTCCTCCATGCTGTCCAGGTGCTACATTTCAAGAGTGGGTGTGAAGATTTGTTTTCTAGTCGAGCAAATAGTATATATATTTTTTAAATAATAGAATTTTAGAAATAGGCTCTTCTACACTTAAGTACTTAAATCCTGGTTCCTTGCTACCCTTCCCTCTTTTATTTTAGCTTTTGTATTTGATTCCCCAGTGCGGGGGGCCCCGCCAGACTACTCTCCGGCCCGTGGAGGTGGCCCTAGGATCCGTAGGTGCAAAGAGGGACCAACCGAATGAAGACACAAGACACAAGAGACAGAGTACAGTTTAGAAACAGAGATAAAGAGACAGGACAGGACAGGACTTTATTCAGGGAAGCAGGGGTATTATATACTTTGCAACGCAGGAAACTATGCTTACATCACAGAAGGCAATTACATCACTAGGTCATATCATATATTGTTAGGAGAGTTACAAAAACTACATGTTCCATGTGCTTGATTAGTCAGTGTCAGTTACTTCTTATTCTTGGGCTAGCTGTGACAAATGTTTTCTTTTAGACAACCATACATAGCTCATAGGCTGCGGTCAGAGCAGACGCAGTACCAGATTTGCGCTAGTCAGGACCCGCTTGTTCAGGGTCACATAGGCCAAGATAACCATACATAGCACAGGCACGTAGGCCCTTGGTCAGTTAAAGGGCCAGCTTCCCATATCTCCCCCTTCCTTTATTATAAAAGATGCCAGCTAGGGGGAGCATTGACTGGACCCCTCCAGGATATCAAGAAGACCTCTGTTTTGCGGAGGGGAGGAGAGTAAATAAAGCCTATTTCCCCTGCTCACTCTACTAGCGGAGGGGAGCTGCGGAAAAGGCCAGGCTAGGCAGAGGAAACCTCCATGCAGGCCCAGTGTACTCCACAGGGAGTCGGAAGCAGCCATGAGGCCTCCCTTGCAGTGCTTTGCCAGACACCTAGTGGTTGAACAAAAATGGAATAGGGTAAAGTCTGACTCTTTCGTACCCAGAGTGTCAGATCAGAGAGGGGCGGGAGAGCTGGCCATAAACAACTCAAGGTTGGGTCCAAACAAACATGACCCGTGAACCATCCTCTGCAGTAGCAGATTTTGTGGCCGCATAATCCAGGGAAGCATCTTCCATTGCCAGACGGTAGTAATGCACTTGTATGGGTTTAGCAGATAGAGAAGCTATCTGTTGTCTAACAAAAGCAGTAAGTCTAGTAAAAATGCATGGGCCAATAGTGGAAAATAATAAAAGAGCAGTAAGCGGTCCTAATAGGGGTGATAGGTAGGGTAACAGGGAATGGAGACCCCCATCCTGTAATGGAGGACTCACGCTTCCTGTGTCTCTGCTCCAAACCTTCCCTTAGTTCTCGCATGGAGTTTTTAATCACTCCACTGTGGTTCACATAAAGGCAACACTCGTCCCCCAAGGCAGCACATAATCCCCCCTCTTTCATAAAGAGCAAGTTCAGTCCTCAGCGGTTTTGAAGAGCAACCTTCAAAAGAAATGTCGGCGAATCCTCGGGGTGAGAGATGGATTGTTCAAGGCTCTCTAAATCAGCATCCACAGTGGCACGAAGTGTAGCTAGTCCAGAGTGCTGAGAAGCCAGGGGACGATGCCTGTACCAGCGCCCGCAAGGCCAAGGGTGAACAGGGTGGCGATGGTAATGGCGGAAACAGGCTCGCTGCGGAATCGGCGGGGTGAGGCAACATGGGCGGGGATCAGTAATCATAAAGGGTGGAAGTTGGGTGGTACAAAATACGGGGGACCACCTGGGAAGTGCCGACCTTATCTTAACATGACAAAACTGTACTCTGCAGTGCTTCCATAAATATTCAAAAGGCCTTTAAAATGCTCACAATTAAAGCTCTTACAAGGTATATTCACTGGGCAAAAGATCACTTTACATTAGAAATTAACCAGAAGATATCTTAAAATTCTGATTTCCAGGAAAACACAAATATAGAAAGATTAAAGCACTCATAGATTATTATGAAACATTAATATTTCACACTTGTGTACAAAGCTTTGTAAAGAACAGGGCCAGGTTGATACCTGGTGACAAGGCTTTGCATGAGATAAAGTTATCAAAATAGTAGCATGTACTTTCAAGCACTGGACAGGCTGATATCTGAGATTAACCCACTTTATAACTGTTAGTAGTTCTAGAAATTTTAGTTACCAGGAGTCTCAGAGATCAGATAGAGCACTGGTAGGGCAAGTTTTGCAACCAATTTTATAACTCTAGAAACTCATGTTTAAACTAAACCATTACATTTGAACCTGTTTTCATGTGTCACAGTTATTTTAACTCACAGGACTTTCTAGGTCAAATATTCTAATCCAATGCAAATATACAGTAACATAACAACATAAGACCTATGAACAATCAATTTTTATAAAACATTATAAAACCTTCTTTGGCTTAATTTCAATAGTTCTTATACCTTAGTTATTTAAAATCATGAACTCTCTACACCAGATACTTTTAACAATTCCACAAGAATACAAACATGCTTTCAGACACAGAAAAAAAAAAACCTTTGATATTATCATAGAAAATAACACTTGGACTGTCAATGTTTATGTAACCATAAGAAAACTTTGTGTATTTTGACGCCTTCTGTACCTCTGTTGTTTATAAAACAGCTAAATTCCTCATTACAATTGGCTGAGGCTTGTAAGATAAAGTCTTGCATTCTCTGAACTTTATTTCACTTTAGTTTCAGGCTCTAGTTCCATAGCTCTTCTAGATATTACAGATTCTTAAGTTCAAAAGGATTTCAACTGTTAATAATCATATAATCATTAATGTTCTTCTAACAAGAAATTTAGATTGAGAATTCTGCTTTCTCTGTAGGCTCATCCTTCTGATAAGAAATCTTCGTTTAACCCTTGTCTGACAGGTTCCAAAAACAACTGCATTTCTTCAATCACTGGGTTGCATATCACTAACTTCTTTAGAATTTCTACTTCTGATATCAGCCTGGTTTTAACACTCGAGTGTTCACACAGACAGACAGACAGACAGACAGACAGACAATGAACTGACTAAAACACCACACATACATGTGCACACATCTGCAGTTGATCGATTGATCTGACCCTTCAAAAGATGACAGGGAGAAACTGATGGACTGAGAAACGAAGGGACAGTCCCCAGGGCGAAGAAATCTTATCGGCGGATTGGGAACACTGCTCCCCATTCCCAGCCTGACCAGCCAGTCTCCTGCTTGTTAAAAATGGGTCAAGAAAACGCTTTTGTTGATATAAGCTGACAAAATAAACTATGACAAAGATGTTACCATATTTTTGCCAAGGTTAATTCTGAGGCCGGGAGATTCTTATCAGATATGGGGATAGGCTGCCTAGTGACACACTTCTTCGTTTCTGATGTCAAACAGTTAATCATAAGATAGTGCATTTCCTGCCTCCGCTGCTTGGATACTCCTATTTCTTTTGTTACCTGCAAAGATCTGACTCCAAAATAATCTGGTAATGCAAACTGCCATTCACTGGCTATCTTTCCCCACTATACTCAGGCCACATGGTGTTACAGAGGTCAACAAGATACTCTATCTAAACTACCTACTTGGAAGCTCCTAGGGTGTTTTTCTAATTGCAAGCAATAATCTATGAAAAAGGATGGTTCCTTGGCAAAACTTTTCTCCAGGTCTATCACTTTGGCTTCTCCCAAGGGGACTCTAACCCCTTGTAAGTTGGCCTTTACTCAGAGGCTCATTGGATTTGGATGTCTCCACCTGGGTAGGCCTAGAGTTGGGCAGACCCACAGCTGTGTGCCTGCTGAACCTAGTGCCATGGCCTTAAAAACTCTGCTTTTTCAAAAAAAAAAAAGTTCTGCCTTTCTTAGCTTGCTGCCTCTTTCCCGCTTATCACTTTTTGCTGGCTTGCAGCTCTTCTCAGGCCTCTTACCTGCCTTTTACCCTTTAATTCTCTCTGCCTTACATCTGAACTGCCTTCATTAGCATTTCAGTTGACCTCTAGCTGATCTTCTAGTTAGACTGAGACTGGGTGGGGAGAAGGATCTCATGCCTGGAAATTGGTCTGCCTTAGCTAGCACAGCGGTAGGGCGGTTGCCTTGCACGCAGCCAACATGGCCGACCCGACTTCGATTCCTCCGCCCCTCTCGGAGAGCCCGGCAAGCTACCGAGAGTATCTCGCCCGCACGGCAGAGCCTGGCAAGCTCCCCATGACGTATTCGATATGCCAGACACAGTAACAACAAAGTCTCCAATGGAGACATTACTGGGCCCACTCGAGCAAATCGATGATCAATGGGAGCGCCTTTACTTTTACTTACTTAGTTTCCCAGAGTCTTTCTTACTAGTGGGTTTTTCTCCCATCCTTTTCATAGTGGATGGTGACGCAAAACAGACAAAGGAGGGGTGCCTCTTTGCAGAGACCATTCACACAGAGGTTAACACATTCCTTCCCCATGCCCCCTAGAGATTTCCAAAGGAGCATACCTTCACAGCAGATTTTCCACAGATTACCTCTTTTACTGGAGCCACAGGTTTGGTGAGAAAGAACCTTATGGGGGCCAATCCACACCAAAGGAAGGCCATTCTGATGAACAATAAATGCCAAACTTACCTTTCTTGATCCTCAAGCCCAGATCCTGAGCTTTCCTGTGGATCTCAGAGAAGTGATCAAGAATTAAAACTTTGGGGGTCGATCGTTTTTGACCCATGTTAAACAATCTTAATAAACAGAACTAGGAATAAGATAACAAGACAATACACACACTAAGGACACACACACAGATCACACTCCCACACTCGCTCGGACTGGTCCTCCTCTCACACTGGTGCGCACCACACTCACCACAGTTACACTGGGATTCCCAAACTTGCCCAAAGGGCGTGCACGTGATTTTCACCTCCGGGGGGGGTTTTTAGTTCTTCCAAGTCTTCTCCTGGTGCCAGGTTTTCCAGATCAGATGAATATGTCCCAGAGAATATGTTCTTTAAATCATGGGCATTGTGACTAGTGGGTATCTCATAACTCAGACATCTGGTTTATCTTCCATGTCTACCGAGCTCCCTGTGATTTACAGCTCAGGGCATCTGCATTCCTGTGGAGGCTCATAAGGGGAGAGTTACTAGTGGAGGGGCACATCAAGTTGCTAATTAGCAGTGCTTTATTCAGGCACTCCCCCACAAGGGCCCAAGTTATTTTATTTTTTTAATTAATTTTTTTTATTATAAGCGAACTTCCCACTGTCTGGTAGTAAGAAAGGAGGGAGAGGGAGAGAGAAAGGTGGCGTTTTCAAATGTGGGGACGTGGATGTGCTTAACTGATGAGTACCTAACGATGCACAGTTTTTTCTTCTGCAGGGGACGCGATTTTATTCTGGGAATCGCGGCTGTGACCCCCTCATCCTGTCACGGGAGACTTCTAGCGGCGAGCGCCCTAGTGGCTTTTAAGTGCTCGACCCATGCCCGCAGGGAGGAACCGCCGGGAAAGGGAAATGGAGTTAAAGAGCGAAGAAAGTGACTGAGAAAGTGAGAGGGAGAAATTTTGGCTCAATAACCAGGCCACCCAAAACAAATTTGGGCTGATGGGAGGGAGGGGATAGAGGGAGGCTGAGAAGGGCCACGAGACTGTGGAGCAGAGGGGTGGTAGCCCTTTAAGAAGGTCTCTAAGTCTTATTGCCAGTAGGAAAAGGCCAGGACTGGGATTTTCTTCCACACGGCCCCAGCATTCATTGATAAGATTCCAATAGGAAAAGGTCAGGGCGGGGATTTTACAGTCTCCCACACAGCCCCAGCGTTTCTTATACACACATTTTCAAGAAGAAAGAAATCGACAAGGTCCTTTTTCTTTACCTTGACTCCTGTGATGTTTAAGGGAAGTCTTAAATAATTCCCTCTTAGTCAGGGTCTGCCCCATGACTACTGACGGCAGATCAAGGGACAAGAGTGAACAAAAGAGGAAAAAAGAGAAAACTACAGAGGAGAAAAAAGGAAAGAGAAGGACACTTACATGAAAGAGAAAGAAGACGCGACATAGATGGGTCACTGGAAGGCTGTGAATACCTGCATGAATACCTGGGAGAAACAGACGCGAGACACGGGGGAGGCCCGACAAAGGGGCCTACTCAGGTGCTTGTCTGGCCAGTGGGAAACTTAGCCGTAGTGGACCAGCCAAAAGTGACTTACGGCCGACGTCTAAGTCAGCACCACCATAGACCATATGTTTCCCGTGGAATCGCAGACAGCCCACTCGGATTCCATAGCCTTTCAGGGACCTTAAGGGTACCCCAGCCGTGGAACCACAGACTCGAATCAGAGGCGAGGATGCCTCTGACTGCTCACTCACTCACACACACATTCCACAGAGGACACAACAAAGGGGGACGTGGGGGGGGGGGGCCTTATCCAACCCAGTGACCGTCTCATACACCTTCTATGAGACTGAACACTCAATTCTCCCCTTGATGCTGCCCTACTCGTCCTCAATCACGAGACAGGGACTTCCAGATTAGACGTGCACTTACCTTTCCGTGCGTCCCGGTGGCCACTGCTTCCGGAAGGGGAGTTCGGCAGTCGTCTCCCAGACACCGCCCCACGTTGGACGCCAGCTTCCCACACCCCAGATACCTGTTTAGGTATCTGGGGAATCAAATACAAATTAAAAATTAGAAACACAAATCAAATAACTCAGGTCAGGCAACCTTGGCGCAGATATCAACTTCTGCCAACAGAATGCCAAAAAGCAATATATAATTTCCCATTTAGAAAATGTTTGGGAAGGAAGAATGCAAGATTCATTTTCTAGGGGCCAGAGCTGTAGGATAGCAGGTAGGGTATTTGCCTTGCACGTGGCTGACCCACGTTCAATCCCTGGTATCCCATATGGTCTCTAAGCCGGCCAGGAATGATTTCTGAGTACAGAGCCAGGACTAGCCCAGAGCATTGCCAGGTGTGGCCCAGAAACAAACAGATTCATTTTCTACAGTCTTCACTTCCTTTTCAATTTTTTTTTCTAGATCACTGCAGTGATGATGATAAAAATTATAATACAGGGATGGAGTGATAGTATAGCGATTAAGGCATTTACCTTGCACTCAGCTGACCCAGGTTCAATTGCCAACATCCCATATGGCCCCCCTGAACACCATCAGGTGTAATTCCTGAGTGCAGAGCTAGGAGTAACCCCTGTGCATCACCAGGTGTGATCCCAAAAAAAGCAAAAAAAAATATTATATTATTTTGGAGGCTGTCCGCTGAGGTCAAAGGGGAAAAATTGGGGTTGGGCTCACTCAGAGATGAATCCTGGCCATGCTTGGATGACCATATGAGGTGCCAGTGTTTTCCTCTCCATTCCTGCAAGAACAGAAACATCCCAAGTCATTTAACCTTGTTTTAAAAAGGTTAGGGATGTTCCCATTTTTGCCTTATTATTGTCCAACTGCTAATATCACACAACAGGATACTTAATGGCTACATCTTTGGAGGGGCAGGCTCGGCCCCAGCTCTGACACTTCCCAGCCTGTGCCTTGGAGAAATGAACCATTGAGCACTGCCCTGTCCTCTTCAGAGTGAGAATGACAGTCAGACCTTTTATAGGCGTTTTTTCAGGGGAAGGGGGATGTTGCACAAGCGTACTTATGAGTCTGGGAGAGAGGGGCTGGAGAGATAGCACAGAGGGTAGGATGTTTGCCTTGCATATAGCCGACCCGGGTTCGATTCCCAGCTACCCATATGGTCTTCTGCGCACTGCCAGGAGTAATTCCTGAGTGCATGAGCCAGGAGTAACCCCTGTGCATCGCCAGGTGTGACCCAAAAAGAAAAAAAAAAGAGTCTGGAAGCCCGAGGCTGGAGCTATAGCACAGTGGGTAGGGCGTTTGCCTTGTACACGGCTGACCCGCGTTCAATTCCCAGCATCCCATATCGTCCTCTGAGCACTGCCAGGAGTAATTCCTGAGTACTGAGCCAGGAGTAACCCCTGAGCACTGCTGGGTGTGAAAGAAAAAAAAAAGTCTGGGAGCTCCCTTCTCATAATACTCAACCAGCTGGGTTGATGATTTAATGTGAAGACCTGAGGATGAGATTCTGTTAGGGTCCGAGTGGAGGGGAATTACCTGGGTCCCCTCAGGAATGCTCAGGGCTCTCCCAGGCTGCATTCAGCAGTGGTAGAAGACCAAGTGGACACTGGACACTGGAGCTGAGGCCAGTCCCATAGCTCAGGTCCAGTCCCCCTAACCACTGTATTCCCAGTCCATCATAAGGTTGGTTTGTTTTGTTTTGTTCGGGGTGAGTTGGGACCATACTTGTTTTTTCTCAAGGGCTGTTTCTGAAATGCTTAGTAGGGAGATCATTATATGTGGTACCAGTGCTTGAGCAGGAGGTCAGCCACATGCAAAGCAAACACCTTACCTTCCTGTATTATATTTCACTGGCCCCATTCATAGGGTTCTGATGGAGATCTAATGAGTTCATATTTATAAAGTACTGAAATCAGTATTCGGCACATAGTAAGTGCTATATTGTCATCATTAAATATCTGAACATCTGTTTTTCACTTCTAGCTTTATAAAATTAAATTCTTAAAAATAATTATCCAAGGGATAAGTATGCAAGCAGTTATAATTACAGCAGTTGCATGGTTTAAGAAATATTTATAGAGTCAGTGAGATAGTACAGTGGTAGGGTGATTGCTTTGCATGCAGCTGACTTGTGTTTGATCCCCGGCATCCCATCTGGTCCCCCATGTACTGTCAGTAGTGATTCCTGAATGCAGAGCCAGGAGTAAGCCCTGAGCACTACCAGGTGTACCCCAAACAGCCCCTCCAAAATAAAATTTTAATAAAGGTCAAAAAGATAGCTCAAAGGACCTCTTGTTTGCTGGGTTCAATCTCTGGCACTGCGTGGTCTGCTGAGCACCAGCAGAAGCATGAGCTCAGTCAGAACTGAGAACAACCTCCCACAAGCTTTGCCAAGTGTAATCCCAGTTCTCCTTCCCCAAATATTTGTGAGGAAATAGGTAGCGGTTTGAAGAAAACAAATTTTATATTACAAGTGGGGCAGGGAATACAGCTACATTTAACCACACATAATAATGCTTCCAAACAAAAAGAACTGGGGTAACAATTTAGCCAGTGGGTAAGCAAGTGGAGTAGAGTGTCTTATCAAACCAGTTATCCTAGGAAATTCTGATGAGCTAATAACTGCTAATGGTAACTGAGCATCAAGCAAGTGGTACACATTTGTTCTTTGGTACATATTCAGCTTGCTTCCCCATAACCTCCCCCCATTATCTGTGGGGCTGACCTTCCAGCACAGATCCTGTAGTAGAGACCTTGGTGCGCCTTGGACAGCATAGCAGCCTGGACTCCGTCTGCGAGATTGCCTCTGTGCCTTGGGTTCTCTCAGACCCACCGCTTCCCCTGCTTCTTGGGGAATCTTAAGTCTCAGAACTGTGGTAGCTCTGAGAAGCCGATGTGTGACATTTGCATCTTCACACTTTCTCACTGCAACCTTTGCAGGCAAAGAACAGATTTTGCTGCAGAAGGATTATGAGTCGGCGTCCCTGACCGAGGTCCGGGCTCTGCTGCGGAAACACGAGGCTTTCGAGAGTGACCTGGCGGCGCACCAGGACCGGGTGGAGCAGATCGCGGCCATTGCTCAGGAGCTCAAGTATGTGTGTGTGGGCCGTGCAGGGGCAGCTGCTCAGCAGGGAGCCTTGTGCCAGGGCCTCCCAGAGGGCTGCAGGACGTGCATCCTTCCGTTCTATGCTCAGTTTACAGAAATCCCAGCGGGAGGACTCCGATGAAAGTCAGCGTGGCTTATTTTGTCAACTTCATTTTTTTTTGTTTTGGGGATCACACCTGCAGTGCTTGAGGGAGTCTTCTGGCTGTGTGGTTGTAGGTCACTCTTGGTGGTGTTGGGGAGACCAGACAATACCAGGGCTCAAACCCTGATCTCAGGACTGGAGTGATAGTACAGCGGATAGGGCGTTTGCCTTGCACGCGGCTGACCCAGGTTTGATTCCCAGCATCCCATATGGTCCCCTGAGCACCACAAGGAGTAATTTCTGAGTGCAAACCTAGGAGTAACCCCTGTGCATCGCCAGGTGTGACCCAAAAAGAAAAAAAAAAACACCCAGGTCTCTTGCATGCCAAGCTAGTAATCCAGCCCTTTGAGCCCTTTCTCTGGCCATCTTGTCATGTGTGCATATTAAACTGAGGAGTGGTGGTTTGGGGGCACACCTAGCAGAGCTCAGGGATTTCTCCTGGCTCTGTGCTCAGGGATCACTCCTGGCGGTGCTCAGGGGACTATATCTGGGCCAAGGATTGACATGAGTCATCCTGTACAAAGCAAGCACCTTACCTGCTTTACTATCTCTCCGGCCTTTTTCTTTTGAACTATAAAGAGATGAACTGACTTCAGTTTGGGGGTCTTTGGGGCCGTGGTAGAACTCCCTGTGCCATCCCATCAAGCAGCACTCCTACCCTCAGCAGAGGGAGGCAGCACTACTTCCCAGAGAAAGGGGAATAAGTTTGGAAAATATGTGCTCTCTCATGTCCTTGTTCTTTATTTTATGGTAGTTGCTAGTAGTGTGCTACAGAACCCATGAATGCAGGTGCAGTTTCCTTTCAGCACTCCTTAAGACCCCCCTTAAGATCACAGTTCTCTTTTGAAAGATAAATCTTTAACCACACCTTTTCCCTGCATTATAATTGATACCTCATTAAAATTTTTATTTGTTTATTTATTTTTGCTAGTTTGGGTCCCACCTGGCAGTGCTCAGATACTTCACCCAGCAGTGTGACTGGGTGTCCCTCCCAGTGGTGTCTGGGGGGGGTTGGCTGGTGCTGGAGATTGAATCCATGTCTTCTGCATGCAAAGCATGTGCTTAGCCCCATGAGCAATCTCTGATAGTTGCAAAAATTTTGGAGTTTGTCACATGAGAATTACTTCTCAAAATCATAGTAATAAGCATTTATTTCTGTATGTTTTATTCTAAAATTGCCCATGTGGAGTCCTGAGTGATAGTACAGTGAATTAGGTGCTTGCCTTACACACAGCCAACCTGGATTTAATCCCTGGCACCCCATCTTTCCCCTGAACACTGACAGGAGTGATCCCTGAGCACAGAGCTAAGACTAAGCCCTGAGCAGCTGGGTATGGTCCAGAAATAAAAAAAAAAACACCCCCTCAACTGATGAGAGCTATTTGAGAGTTCATCCTAACTCCTTTTATTTATTTTTATACTCTTTTTGTAATTCTATTTGTTGGGTTTGGGAACTATATTGGTAACCAGAGAGTTACTCTTCTCTCTGCCATGTGCCATGAGGTGCAAGCAGTCAAAGTATGTGTTTAGCTCACCATATTGTCTCCAATCCCATAACTACTTTGAGTGATTTGAAATGACTCTGTGATTGTGCACAGGGTTGGGGAGAAGTCCCAATGGGCTTCACTGTCTGTTTTGCATGCAGTGCCAAGTTTCATCCCTGGCACCGGTCCACATGGCCCACCAGGTGGAGCCCTAGCTGTGCTCAGCACCACATCAGGAGTAACCCCTGAGCACTACTGGGTGTGTCCTCCCCCAAAAAACACAAAGAATGGCCTCTAAAACTTAAGTAATAACTTTATATCATTCTGGTGTAGATACCAGTGTATCTTCACACAGTCAAGAGCAGCACCCTGGGGCTGGATAGAGAATACAGGGATGATGGCGCTTGTGTTGCTTGACACACACACTGTCAGAAACAACCCCGAGCACAGAGCAGGGAGTAGCCTCAGGGCATCTCTGGATGGGGCCCAAACCCTCAATAAAAGAAAGGAATCGCAAAATGAACTGCTACAGTATAAGAAGGAATTAAAGGTTATGAGAAAAGGAGGAAGAGCTGATAAGTCATCTGAAAGGGAGCCAGTTGTACCGTGAAATGGAATTGGGCTTTTAATTAACTTATTACCATCAAACACAAGTTGATTTCTAATGATGCACCCCTGAATTGTAATGTTACAATGCAACATTACTTCAACAAAAAAAAAAGGAACTAGATACTGAATTTTAATCAGTAGCTCCTCTTACTATTATTAACTTTCATTTTTATCTTTCCTAAAATAATAAGTCAAAATGTGCAGCTCTCAAAGTGTATGAAAAATGGTAGGCACAGTTATGCAAACCTCCTTGGAACTGGAGATGCGTAGCACGGCGGCTAGGTATGAATTAGAGAAAAGACAGAGAAATGAATACCTTAAAGATAACTGTAGGGAGGAAAGAAGTGGTCTTTTCGTAGGGATTAGTCACAGGAGTTTCAGGTTATTGTTTTTGAAGTATTTCTTGTCCTTAATATTTACATTTTAAGGAGCAATAACCTTTCACTTTGTGTTCAGGAAAATGTAAACTACTGATGTGTTTTGGTTGGTTTTTAAGTTATATCTCTAAGTAAAAGAATCTTAGTGCGTCTCAGTCCCATGCAGTGGATGTGAGGCAACTGCTCTTAAAAGTGGGCAGACTTGGGGTGGAGGGATAGTACAGTGGGTAAGGCACTAGCCTTGCATGCAGCCCACCCCAGTTCTATCCCTGGCACCACATACGTTCCCCCAGCACTGCTAGGAGGGAAGCTGAGTGCAGAGTCAAGAGTAAGTCTTAAGCACAGCTGGTGTGGCCCCCAAACAAACACAAAGTGGGCAGACTTGCCAACGAAGCATATAAGCATGTTTTGCATACAGGATGTCCAGAAACTGATCCCCATCCCATGCCCACCACCCCTGCCACACACACACAAAGAATGGACACACTTTATTAATTTATTTATTTTAGTGAAGTAAGATAGTTTTTATTGAACAGAGCTTACTTAGGAAAATGTGAGGGGCTGAGGAAGGAAGCGGAAAACATGTTCAAGAAAGAATATGAGCTTCAAGTGCAAGCAAAGAGGCTGGAGCTATAGTACAGTGGATAGGGCATTTGCCTTGCACGTGGCCAACCGGGTTCGATCCCCAGCCTTCCATCCCCTGAGCACTGCCAGGAGTAATTCCTGAGTGCAGAGCCAGGAGTAACCCCTGAGCACTCCCGGGTGTGACCCAAAAAGCAAAAAGAAAAAGAAAGAAAAAGGGCAAGCAAAGAGACATAGATGCAGCAAGTGAGATACATGTCCAAGAGAGGGGGCAAGCCAAATTGACAACTTCATGTGATAACTTCATGTGTACAGAGGGTGTGTGTGTGTGTGTGTGTGTGTGTGTGTGTGTGTGTGTGTGCGCGCGCGCGCTTTGGGGGTCAGAACTGTACATGCATGGCAAGTACTGTACTGCTGAGCTACATCCTGTTCCAACAGGGAACTTCTCAGTTCCTTACCCCCTTAAAGAACTTTAAGAGCAGAGTTTGAGCTATCTCCTTTACTCAGTACAGGGGGTGGGGGGTACTATTCAATGAGGATAGCAAATTTTGTTTAAAGTGGGGACCCCAGCAATGAACCATTACGTTAAAATTCAAGGTGAAATGAATAAACTTAAAGCCTGCACCCTACAAACTTGTGGCAAGCAGCAGTGGGTACGTGTGTGGCTGCCTGCAGCTTATACACAGCCTGGAGCTGGAGGCACTGTACATGTACTGTCCCAACGCTGTGCATCAGCTCAGTCCCGCTCAGTGTGTTAATTCACCAGACAGACATGAAAGATAGCAACCAGAAGTGGTATTGGAAGAGTGGAGTCAGCAGTTTTCCATGTTGTTTACTGTATTCTGCCTGAAGCTGGGACAGAATTGAACCAACACAGATGAGTTTGGTGCTTTGGAAGGTGTGAAAGCTGTTAGCAAACTCTGTTCTCCTATTGGGGAGAAGTAACTGAAGTTAATGAAGCTCTTGCAGAAAATCCAGGACTTGTCAACAAGTCTTGTAATAACGATGATTGGCTCATCAAGATGCCACTCAGTAGCCTTTCAGAACTAGATGAACTAATGAGTGAAAAAAACATATGTGAAATACATGAAATGTATTAAGGACTGAAAGTGGAGCCCTAACTAATGAAACAGCTTAATCTAGCACAGTTGTCTTTCATTACTGGAGGAAAGAGATTGAATATCACAGATTCTAAAAGCAGCAACAGAAAGGCTTTTTGCCACAATGCTACCAAGAAGAAAACACCTCTTAATTTTCTTATGATTACAGATCAGCACTGGATGCATCTTTTCCACAATGCCCAATCATTTTCAGATGAGGCTTCAGATATTATAATCAGATTTCCAGGCGCTATACACATGCTGTGGTTAAAAGCTACTTTATGTGTGAGTGTGTGTGTGTGTGTGTGTGTGTGTGTGTGTGTGTGGTGGATTTATTTAAAAGAAGTTATTCAAAGATAACATTGTTATCTTAAGCTTTATGTAATGTAATTTGCTTACATTCATCCTTGGATTTAGGTCAAAATAGTCAAAATACTTAATGATCTCTCCATTGGCAATCACCTGTAGCGAAGTCTAGTTGTAGTTGTATGGTGCCAAATGAACTATCCTATTTTAATTTTGAAATGTACTGGTATGGTTGGTGCTATTTTTTGGTTTGTTTTTGGGCCACACCTGGTGGTGTTAAGGGTTTACTCTATTTTCTGTACTCAGGGATCACTTCTGGCAGGATCCACAACCATATGGGGTGTCAGGGATTGAACCCAGCTTGACTGTGTGCAAGGCAAGCACTCTAATCACTGTACTATTGCTTCAGCCCCTGTTGATGTTACTTTTCTACAATAAAGCAACAGCTATGCTTTACAGTAAGAACACTTTAATAATAAACCGTTCAACTTCAAAAATAATAAACCTGGGACTAGAGCAATAGTATAATGGGTAGGGCATTTGCCTTGCACGTGGCAGACCCGGGTTCAATCTCCAGCATCCCATATGGTCCCCCAAGCACCACTAGGAGTAATTCCTGAGCACAGAGCCAGGAGTAACCCCTGAGCATTAATGGATGTGACCCAAAAAACTAATACTAATAAACTTAAAGGAAATGAATTTGATAGAATATAAGAGACTTTCCTTTAAAAGCACCTTATCTTGGCTTATTTTTGAATAGGTCTTTACACCCCTATGACTGTCCGATTAAAAGGGTGATGCCATTTTGTATAGGATTCACTCATTTCCCCCTGGAGTGACTCTGTGACCCCCACTGAGAATTTGTTGTCATGGCAAATGAAAATTATTTTGCCACATAGCCAGGGCTGGTGAGGATGGTTGACTTCCTTTAGGAAGGAAGCATCTTGTTCTTGTGTGTTGCACTAGTGACATGCAGCTGTGCTGTTTACCTAAAAGAATTTTTCTGTGCTGAGGAGACCAGCCTTAGAAGACCCAGTGGCCCTCCTGTGGCCTTAGTGCTCCTCCCAGCACCGAGGCCGTGCCGTTCCAGAGGAGCCAAGGACACTATGGGTTGCAAGCTGATACTGCCCCGCTCCCCACCCTCTTGACTCATTTGACTGTTCCAGTCACTGTGGCTGCAGAGAGGCCCACAGGGACGTCCTCTAAGACAGATAGTTGGCTTCACTAACAGGTACATCGCCTCTTAAAAATAATTCCTCCCTGGGCCTGGCCAAGAAATGAAAGGAGAAGAAAGTTCAACAGCGGCATCGAGAGGGCGGGGTGTTTCTCTGCTTAGAAATCTGTGGACCAACAAGCACGTTACTTACTCTTTAGCTAGTAAAAACTGCCTCAGAGGATAGTGATTTGTTTGCAAGGGTGACAATGAATAAAATTCTGAAATGCCCAGCTCATCCACCGTCAGCTTGGACACAATTTCCTGTTTGTTTTCAGTCTGGGTTCAGTTTTCCTCTTCTTGTCTGGGAAAGTTAACCTTGATTTTGTACTTCTCATAGTGAGCTGGACTATCATGATGCCGTGAATGTCAATGACCGGTGCCAGAAAATTTGTGACCAGTGGGACAGACTGGGAACGCTTACTCAGAAGAGGAGAGAGGCCTTGGAGGTGAACTCTTACAGCCACCTGTTGACACGGAATCTTTTCATAGGGGCTCATTAATTCTCAAGTATTTGTTTTCTGTTTTTTTCCATGACGTGGTTTGTCTAGCACATTGCCTCGGGAAAGGACACTCTAAGGGGAACAGACAAAGTGGGGGAAAGAGGGAAATGAAAAGTTGGTAGCTTTGCAATATTATTTATTTATACATAGGTGAGGAATATTTTTTGAGTTAGAGGGGACTAAAAGTCCTGTGATACTGAGATTTTCCAGTAGTTTTTCATAAGAGTCAGTTGAACTGTGCCTGAGTTAGGAAATTGGGAAGAATTGAATGGGAAATAAGCAAAGGGAACCATTCCCCCCAACCGGCAACACGGTGAATTTGGCCTGAACAAGGCCTCCCTCAGAAGCATAATGTGGCTCATGTTTTAACTCTAGCTAATTATTGTTCTTCTTATCAGAACTCATGTGGGGCTGGAGCAGTAGCACAGTGGGTAGGGCATTTGCCTTGCATGCAGCCAACCTGGGTTTGATTCCCAGCATCCCATATGGTCCCTGAGCAACACCAGGGGTAATTCCTGAGTGCAGAGCCAGGAGTAACCCCCGTGCATTGCTGGGTATGACCCAAAAAAGCAAAAAAAAAAAAAAAAACCCTCATTTGATGTGAAGGAAAGAAACAAGAAACAACTACCACTTTTCTGAGTCTGGGAGCACTTTTGTTGTTGTTGTTTAGGGGCCACACTCAGCAGTGCTCAGGGGTTACTCCTGGCTCTTCACTCAGGGATTATTCCTGGCATAGTCGTGAGACCACATGAGGTCCCAGAGATCAAACCCGGGTCAGCCACATGCAAGGCAGTCAGCCTACCTACTGTACTATCTCTCTAGCCCTGATGACTCTTTTTTTTTTAAATAAAAGCCATGACATCCAGCTTCCTGGTGCTAAATGGTAGTTACATGCCTACCTAAAGAAAGAAATCCTGAGAAGTGACACAAAGCTCAGTGCTAGGTTTGTAGGATGCATACTTCACTTGTAGAGGCCTTGGGTTCCTTTCCTTGCATGCCAAAAACAACTAAGAGAGAGGAAAGACCCAATATGTAACAGACCACATGAACATTTTGAAATGGGAGGAAAAATGAATCCAAATATAGAAGACTTACAGACACCAAATGCCTTACGAAGCAAGTAGAGCATCGGCCTCTATTGCTTGAAGCCTTGTGCTTTCCTATGCCCAAAGTCACAGAGGAGCTCGCTGTTCAATCCTGAGTGAGGATTAAACTGGAGGCATGTGATGTTGAGGAAAGCCGGCACTGACTCTGCACAGTGTTAACAATAAAATGAGAGAGAGAGAGAGAGAGAGAGAGAGAGAGAGAGAGAGAGAGAGAGAGAAAATCCCTGACTCTCCTGTTTTCTAGCAGTATTAGGCCACCAGCTCTCCTAAGGCAGAAAGTGCCGCAGTGTCCTCTGTGGAATCTGTTTTCAAAAAAGTTGCATGTACTAGAGGACTGCAAATGTTCAAATACTTTAGAGAAGATTACTCAGGATGCTGTTAAATCTTAATAGCATTCAGAAGGTTTCAGAAACCTGCATGGTTTAACTTAATCATTTGCCCATCTGTTAATTTTAGGAATACGCACGCTGTAGATTAGAGCATCGTGATGAACAAAATGCAGAGAAGTTTATTGCTCTGGACATTTTTACGGTTTTGGAGATTTTTTACCTTCCCTATGATAATACTTGACTTTATTTAACTAATCTCCAGAGAACTGAGAAATTGCTAGAAACCATCGATCAGCTTCATCTCGAGTTTGCCAAGAGAGCTGCTCCTTTCAACAACTGGATGGAGGGCGCCATGGAGGACCTGCAGGACATGTTTATTGTTCATAGTATTGAAGAAATCCAGGTAATAGGACCCCAGCTCTGCACTTAAATTGCACTAATTGTGATCTTTTTCATTTGTTTTGTTTATTTTGCTTTTACTAAGATGTAGTAAGTTAGACCTAAACCGGAGTTCAAAAATAGCGAAAGCAAGCTATTTTTTAAACTCTTTTTTTACTTCTTACTTTCAATTTAGACAGCATGATTTATATAGTTGTTCACAATGGTTTTCAGGCATACAATGTTCCCACCTCCAATCCTGCCACCCCCTGTCCCCATCCCTCCTCTTCGGATTCTCCGAGTCCCCCAAGCTGACTCCTTGACTGAAATTTTTTTTTTTAATTTTATTTTAGGCACCAGAGTTTACGATACTGACAACAGCAGGCTTCATGCATAACACATTCCAGCATCACACCCTTCATCACCACAGTGTCAGCTTCCCTCCACCATGTCCCAGGGTCCGAACCCCACCGCCCCACCCATTCTCCTTCAACTCCCTTGCAGTGATATGCTTCCTACTAAAGACCATTTTAAGTTCATGGTCATAATTTGTGTCTCATGCTTGCAGTAGTGTTGGGTCTAGTGTTCTAGGTGTATACAGATACTTCATCTCTCCACCACAGAGACCTTTGCCCCTATGTTATTTCCAAACCTCCTCTTGCATTCTTCCTCCATTTTTCTCCTTCCTTGGCATTTTCATTTTGTAATGTAGAGCCAGTATTAAAACATAGACACACACACAATTTTAAAAAGATTTCCTATTAATAGTCATCAGTTTCTCTGCTACCCTTTTACCTTATTTGCAGAATTTAATTTTAGTGCACAAGGTCGCTTTTCTGAAACATCAAGCATGGTTTTCCTTGCAAGATTTCTGCAGTTGTCAGGGCAGTCACATGGTGCAAAAGCGCCTATGATGTCTGTGAAACAAACACTGAAATACAGTGGCCTTTTCTCTGTTTTGTGTCTCTGGGGTAGAGTTTGATCACTGCCCATGAGCAGTTCAAGGCCACGCTGCCAGAGGCGGACGGGGAACGGCAGTCCATCATGGCCATCCAGAATGAGGTGGAGAAGGTGATTCAGAGTTACAGCATCCGAATCAGCTCAAGCAACCCCTACAGCACTGTCACCATGGACGAACTCCGGATGAAGTGGGACAAGGTGCGCTACTGGATGGGGTGTCGATGGGGTTTCATGAAACCAAGGTTGAGGGAATATATAAAAAGCCTGAAGGATTAGAATGCCTGCTTCCATTCCCCATTGTCTCAGGGTCACTCCTCACCCCTTTCCACCTCAACACACCCTCTCCTTAACCTTTCCTTCACCTCACATCTCACTGCCATGGGAATCTCAGTACTGTAGGACAATTCTTAGATTCTGTTGCTTTTGGCATTTTGTTATTTCTACTATGCTTCTTTCTGCTCCACACATATGAGAGAGATATTCTGAATCTCAGGGCTGGAGCAATAGCACAGCAGTATGGCGTTTGCCTTGTGCGCAGCCACCTTGGCCTAGCCGGGTTCGATTCCTCCACCCCTCTCGGAGAGCCGGGCAAGCTACCGAGAGTATCTTGCCCACACAGTATAGCCTGGCAAGCTACCCATGATGTATTCAATATGCCAAACACAGTTCAACAAGTCTCAAAATGGAGACGTTACTGAACCCACTCGAGCAAATCGATGAACAATGGGAGGACAGTGTATGTTTGTGTGTATTTGTATTCGGAATCTGCCCCACTCTTTCCTTACTTCACTTAGTGTAATAGTCTCCAGCAAGGGGGGGGGGATGTGTATATATATATATATATATATATATATATATATATATATATATAATCTCCTCTTTGTCCAGGCATCTGTTCTTGGGCACTTGGTTGTTTCTCAGATTTCAGCTATGCACATGTCTTTTCTGAATAGGGTTTTGGGTTGTTGGATTAGATGCTCAGGACAGAATTGCTGGGGTCATATGGAAGCTAAATTCTTAGCTTTTTTGAGGAGTGTCTATATATTGTTTTCCAGAAAAATTGAATCAGTCAACATTCTCACTAGCAGAGGATGAGGGTTCCTTTATGGCACATCTTTGCCAACACTAGTTGTTTTTGATTTTTGATGGATGTGTGCTACTTTCACTGATGCGAAGTGATATCTTATTATTGTTTTGATTTGCATTTCCATGATGATTCTCTCCCAGTCTGAAGAATGTCTTTTTATTCTGGACATCATTTCTTTTGCAATGTAGAAGCTTCTTTTTTTTTTTTTCATTTGGTCACACACAGCAATGCACAGGGGTTACTCCTGGCTCTGCACTCAGGAATTAATCCTGGCAGTGGTCAGGACACCATATGGGATGCTGGAAATCGAACCCGGGTTGGCCGCGTGCAAGGCAAACTCCCTACCCGCTGTGCTACTGCTCCAGCCCCACAGAATCTTCTTACTGTGATGTAATCCCATTTGTTTATTTTTGCTTCCATTTGCTTGGCCAATGACATTGAATCTTTGAAGATGCCGCTAGATTTCTCTGTCATGAGGGTTATGCCTATATTTTCCTCAACATGTTTTATGGATTCATGTCTGAGATTGAGGTCTTTAATCCATTTTGAATTGGCTTTTGTGCATGCTATGAAAAAAAGAATCTGAATTTGTTTTTTACATCAAACCAAACAGTTTTCCCACTGCAATTTGTTGAAGAGGTTTTCCTTGCTCCCTTTGAAATATGTTTAGCTCCTTTGGGGGGTGGAGGTGGAAGGCACACCTGGTGGTTCTCAGGGATTGCTCCTGGCTCTGCACTAACGTATCACTCCTGGTAGTTCTCGGGGGCCTCATGGGGTGTCAGGGATTGAACCTGGGCCAATAGTATATGAGGCAAAAGCCCTGCCTACTGCACTGTCTCCTGGGCCCCTGAATACAGTTAAGTCTTAAATGCCAATCAGGATCATCTGTGGTTTGTAATAAAAGAGTACAAATGACTTGTCTTAAGGAAAGTTTTACAGATGTGGCAAAATCAGTAGAAGTTATGACACTAATACCATAAACTTCTAAAAGTCACAACTGATAGTTTGGGGAAATGAATTTCCCATTAATACTTCACTTACAATTTTTGGAATATGGGACAGACATGTTCTAAGAAATTCAATTACAGAAAAATTCCTTAGAAAACTGTGATGAGGAAACTAAAGTACTCCTACAACTTTAAGTTATGACAAACTATCTGCAAACAGAGTCAGAGACAAAATAAGATCATTTGAGCCTTTTTGTCTCATTCTTAAGAAAAAAGTATTTTCAACAACACAGTTATCTCAGTGTGAGGTGTATGAGCAGACTGAGCCTGTGTCTTAGACTATCTCAGAGCATATATTAGACTGCGCAATACATAGGTTAAAACATATGCTCAGTATGTATTACATAAGTTCTTTAAGGATATTTGAACTGACTTTCTATAAAAACACATGCACGTGCATCATTTAGTTATAAACTGTGCAAAAGAGAAGGGGAAAACGCACGTGGGAAGCTGGAGAGATAATAGTTGGAGATTTCATTTAAGCTTTACATTTAGCTCTTGGTCATCTGATAGCCAAATTGAAAAGGGAAACAAGCCCATTGAACCAAGTAGTTTCCTTGAAAGGGGGGAAATTTTTCTTTTTACTTCTCAAAGGGATATAAACCTTTTTTCCCTCTGTTGCTGAAAGCTTAAAGCAAAGTGAATTTTTCTAACAAACATTGAATAGTAATGTTTAACAGCAGTTTTACTACAGACATACCACACGAACCAAGTAGCTTTTGGTCTGCTGACTGTCAGCGCACAGAGCCCACTCTCAGATGAGAGAGCAGAGGGAAAAGTGGGATGGGCAACGCATTGGCCAGGCACAACCCTTCCCTGTGTTCAGCATCACAGAGACACTGCACTCAGGTCCCTAGGAGAGGTTCCTAACTTGCTTATGTCTTGGATCCCTTTGAGAGTCGGGGGAAATCCTTAAAGTCTTCCTGGTAATACTCTTTGTAAATTCATAACAATATTTGTAACAGGGGCCAAAGGGATTGTTCAGTGGGCAAGGCTTTGCATGTGGCTGACCCAGATTCTATCCCCCAAACCCCATAGGGTCCCCCAGCCCCTGCCAGGAGTGAGTACATCCACTCCAAGATAAAAGTGTTACAAAAGAAAAGTATTCAACTATAGTTTTGGGGGACCGAAGAGATGGCTCATGGGTCGGACTGCACGATTCACATGCAGGAGGCCCGCGCCTGATCTCCAGCACCCACTGGGAGTGATCCCCAAGCACCAAGTCAGGAATATTCTCCAGCATTGCCCTAAAATGTGACCCTTAAACAGAAAACTCAAAATAGCTTATTTTTATAGCCATTAATGTTACTAAAATGGCTTTTTTCATAGGTCTTAAACTTTTAAAATTGGGATATAGTAATGTATGTATTTGTTTCGCTACTATCATCTTTTTTTTTGTTCGCTTTTTGGGTCACACCCGGCAATGCTCAGGTACTCCTGGCTCTGCAATCAGGAATTACTCCTGACAGTGCTCAAGGGACCATATGGGATGCTGGGATTCAAACTCAAGTCGGCCACATGTAAGGCAAACACCCTACCCGCTGTGCTATCACTCCAGCTCCCAACTACTATCATCTTTAAAAACAACATCTAGTGAGGACTTAGCCTTGAGCACAGAGCCAGGGCTGAAGCCCTGAGCACCACTGGGTGTCGCCTCACAGAAAACAAGAGCAGCATCTAACGGATGCTCTGATCACTTTGAAGTAGGGATGATTATACATGATATTTTGAGAGGCAAGCAAACACCTGCTTTGTGAGAATATCTGTGCTTTCTACTACAGGAAAGCCCCAGTAATTTCAAAGTACCATCACATTTATTGTGAAAATTCACTTGTAGTTAATTTTTCCCTCATCAACTTTGAAAACCCTCTAAACTCTGGACTGTTTAACAGGGTGTCAGCCCTGCACGCCAGAATCCCTGGCTGTCCCTGAGACAGACTTATCCACTGCAGCAGGCGCTGAGTGGCAGCAGGGCTGAGCTGGGTTCTCCTTTCAATTCCTAGAGTAGGGCTGTCCACTCCCCCAGGTGCCTCTTCACTTCTTCCTCCCCTCCCCTACCCCACCCATCCGGATGCCCGCCCCACCCACTCTTTCAACTATTTTCTCACATCTTGGCCAGTTCTGTTGGCCCAAAGCTGGCTTCTCACCCTCCTTCCCTTCACCTCAACAGGTGAAGCAGCTGGTGCCCATCCGGGATCAGTCGCTGCAGGAGGAGCTGGCCCGCCAGCACACCAATGAGCGCCTGAGACGCCAGTTCGCTGCACAGGCCAATGCCGTCGGGCCCTGGATCCAGAACAAGATGGAGGTAGGTTGGTCAGTGCCTTGGGAGAGATTTTTGGAAGCTTCGATATTAATTCCTGGGTTGACTCAACATCAAAATGTCTTATTCTGTGGCCTCTAGTCACCCACTCACTGATGAGAGCCATACATGTATTACTACAGCTCTATTCTTTGCATTTCCTGGGCTTTGTAGCCTGTGTGCACTTACCAGCAACTGTTAACTGTGTGTGTGTATGTGTGTGTGTGTGTGTGTGTGTGTGTGTGTGTGTGTGTACAGTGAAGGCAGACAGATCTTGGTTCATTTTTCCCCCCTTTCTCTACAACAAGGGAGCTTGGTCTACAGCTCCCTTTACAGGAAAAAAATATTGCTTAGTGTCCCCCACCTCCCTGAAATCTGCCTTCCTTAAGCAATCAAGCAGAAAGTGCCTCCTAATTGTACTTGAGGCTCACCTCCCCCTACCAATTATAGTACCCCGCAGAGGGCATTACCTGCCCCCTTGGGAAATACTGGAGACAGACGAGAGCTGGAACTTGTCTCATTCTGCCGTACTGTCCCCATTTCCGTCTCACTTGAGAAATCCATTCCCTTAGCATCTGACTCTGCCAGCTTGAGGTCTCAGGTAGAGCCAGAGTGACATCTCCTCCAGTTCCCACTGAGCTACTCACCTGGTCCTCCCCCCACCCCCTTCCCGCCTCTGTTAGGAGATTGCCCGGAGCGCCGTCCAGATCACAGGAGCGCTGGAAGACCAGATGAACCAGCTGAAGCAGTATGAGCACAACATCATTAACTACAAGAACAATATTGACAAGCTGGAAGGAGATCACCAGCTCATCCAGGAGGCCCTGGTCTTTGACAACAAGCACACCAACTACACCATGGAGGTAGGGACTGTTTCACCTTCGAAGAGATCGTTCTTCCCACCCGTGGCTCTGTTTGTTCCTGGGAGGAACAAGGAGGAAAGGTAGCTGAGCTTTTCCAGTCACAGTGTATGAAAAGGCTTTGTGAACCGAAACAAGCCTTTAATCAATCCCCGTTATCGTCATCACTGTCATCATCACCCATCTCAGCACTGAATTCACAGCACTGCTTCATCGCAAATACCACAGATTGGACTGTTACATTTCTACCAGTTTGGTTCATTTGATCTCCCTGGGAGCCAGCATATATAATTGAGTATAATCAAGTGTAATTCAAGGTCCATCCCACTATTTGGTAAATGGAAAGACATTCCTTAATAAGAAATAGAACATACATCCACCAAGTGGATATATTTTATCCACCTTGTGTATTTTTCCCTATTAAAAATCCTCTTTCACTTCTGAGTGGCTAGCACAGACTCTTGCTAACGGAGGATAAGTAGAGAACTCTCCTGCTATAAATATGAAAAGGCACGATTGATCTGCTACAAAAGTAGAGCTGATCATTTCCTTTGTCTTCTTGTTAGCACATTCGTGTTGGATGGGAATTACTGCTGACAACCATTGCCAGAACCATCAATGAAGTGGAGACCCAGATCCTGACCAGAGATGCGAAGGGCATCACCCAGGAGCAGATGAATGAGTTCAGGGCCTCCTTCAACCACTTCGACAGGGTACCTCATTCTTTCTAGTTAAATACTGAGGACATTTTTCAAGTGTTTTGAGGGTCTGGGGAGATGGTGCAGAAGTTAAGGGTATGCTTTGCATGAGACCGATCCTGATTTGATCCCTGGCACTGCATGGTTCCTTAAGCCCTGAGCCAGGAGTAGCCTCTGAGCCCCACCAGGGCCCAAGAAAGCATCCTCCATTCTCAGAACACTTCCAGTATGTTCTGTCATCCCTAGGTGGCAGTAGTTGGATCCTGGACAATTCATTTTCTATCATAGTCGGTGCTTTGGTTTGGTTTGGTTTGGCTTTGTCACTGCTTTATGCGGTCTCTGTTCTTTTCTGTATTTCCCCCATTTGCTTTTTAAGAAATGATTTTGTCACAGTCCATGGTGGGCTCCACCCTGCTCTGACAATTAGTGAGTGACCTTTGTGTTGCCCTTGTGTTGCCCAAGTGTCCCTTCTCTTTCTGGGGCTTGTTCACTTAGTCAAGTCACCTTGCTCCTCTTGCCTAATTCTCAGCTTCTCTGGTCTTTGTATTTATTGACAGAGGAAGAACGGGCTGATGGATCATGAGGATTTCAGAGCCTGCTTGATTTCCATGGGTTATGATTTGGTAAGACGTGAATTGAAATTTTTCTGTCGTTTGCTGTGCTGTTGAACTAGGATTTAGCTGATAAGTGAGAACTGGTTTCAAGCATAGTAGTACATTGGGACTGCTTCTTTCTCACTCTGTAGGATAATATACATATATTTTAATTTAATTTAATTTATTTATTTTAGCTGGTTAGCCATCTATTGTATAAAAGTAATTTTAGAGCCAGAGTATATAGTTTTATTCAGTAATTGGTCAGATTTTCTTCTAGTGGAAGAAGAGAACATAAGATTTTCTTAGGACTTTTTAATAGCTTTATTGATCTGTCGTTCAGCTATCATACCATTTACACTTTAAAGTGTATATATCTGGGGACTGAAGTGATAATACAGTGGGTAGAGTGCTTGCCTTGCATGTGGCCTTCCAAACTTTGATCTTCAGCATCTCTTGTGGTCTCCTGAGCTCTGCTAGGACTGATTGCTGAGCACAGAGCTGGAATAAGTATTGAACTCCTCCCCCACCTAGAAATTAAATACGGTGTATATGTCTTCAGTTCACTTACGGTCCCCTGAGCATCACCTCCAGGAGTGTTCTCTGAGTGCAAAACCGAGTCACCCCTAAGCACCACTGGGTGTGGCTTAAAAACGAAAACAAACAAAAATTTGTATATATCTCAATGACTTTTAGTATCCTGATGATTTCTTTAAATGCTTTTTCCTTAGGCCAAGAAAACAGCTCAAGTGGCAGAACACATGCCTATCATGTGTAATGCCCAAGTGGATTTCTAGGTGTGGCCCCTGTAACAAGTATTTCAGGACCAGAGAGATAATACAGGGGCTAAGATGCTTACTTTGAATGGAGCTGACCTGGTTTGATCCCAGGCAGTAGCTGTGTTTCACCAAGCACCACCAGGGGTCACTCCTGAGCACAGAGCCAGGAATATACCTAGAGCACTGCCATGCAGCCAAGTGTATACCCTCCTCTTCCCCCCACCCACCCATTTTTTTAAAAGTTTTTTCTTTAAGATAAAAATTTCTTAATAATTGGCTCAGAAACCCTTTTATTTCCCTGTGGGCTATGATAATGCCAGTGTACCTTCATTTTTGCTCTTAACCTATTAATATGTATTTGAACATGAGTTACTGTGATTTCCCTCAAATCAATAAAATAAAAACCATAAAGGACATCTTCTGAGCTGTATTCTAAATACATTTTATAGTCAGAGAAACATCCAGTTCTCTTTGAAATAATCTGCCATAATTTTGGCATTGGGGGTAAAGCAATAGTCTAGCAAACTTGCCTTGTATGCAGCTGACCTTGTATGGTTCCCTGAGCCCTGTCAACCACAGAGCCAGAAGTAGACCCTGAGTACCACTGGGTAGTCCCCAAAACAAACAAAAGCAATTTGTTAAAATATAAATCCTGAGACCAGGCAAATGACAGAAAGGAAGAAATCCGGACACATCGGAGCTTTCTGCTTAATGCTCCAGCAACTTTTTTTAAAATTTATTAGTGAATCACAGTGAGGCACAATTATAGACTTACAAAGTTTCATGCTTACAGCAACTTTTAAAAACATTTGCTGGCAGGGAGCTGAGGAAGTAGGTCTGTGGTAGAGCACTTGCCTTGCATGTATAAGGCTCTAGGTTCAATCCCCAGCACTGCAAAGCAAAATACAGAGCAAAATACCACAGTAATATAAAGAGAAATCAATTTCAAGACAGCTCAGAGAGAGAAGGAGCCACCAAGTAAAGGATGCTTGTAAGGCCCGCTCAGGATGGAAGATGGCCACTTAATACCTGTATTGCAAACCACAACACCCAAAAGGAGAGAGAGAGAGAGAGAGAGAGAGAGAGAGAGAGAGAGAGAGAGAGAGAGAGAGAGAGAGAGTAAAAGGGAATGTACCTGCCACAGAGGCAGGGGGAAGAGGGGAGAGGATGGGGAGCATGGAGGAAGAGATACTGGGAATATTGATGTTGGTGAATGGGCACTAGTGGAGGGATGGGTACTCGATCATTGTATGACTGAAACATAAGCACTAACTGTACCCCACAGTGATTCATTTAAAAAAGTAATAATGTAAAAATTTTTTAAAAATTAAAAAAATGAAATTTATTTCATAGACTGCAAAGAAATGGAGGGGAACTGTTAAGTTTTCAGGGAAAAAGCTTATGTGCCAGTATGGAAAAGCAGAAAAGTGGCAGTGCTCAGGGTTGTGTACTTGGTAAAATAAGGCTCTCTGCAATCTGACCTCAGGGTGAAGCTGAATTTGCCCGCATTATGACCCTGGTGGACCCCAATGGACAGGGCACAGTCACCTTCCAGTCCTTCATTGACTTCATGACTAGAGAGACAGCTGATACCGACACAGCTGAACAGGTCATCGCCTCCTTCCGGATCCTGGCTTCTGATAAGGTCTGTACTGATGGGTTGCTTTCTGCACTTCGGTTATTCTGCTGAAAAGGAAATGGCACTGCAAGTGAAAGAAAGGCAGTTTGATCTTAGAGATTTTTTTTCTACCATGTCAATATTGTTTTGGGGAGGCTGGAGCAGGTACAGCAGGTAGAGCCCTGGCCTTGCACAGGGTTGACGCAGGTATAATTCCCCATGCCCCTTCGGTCCCCTGAGTTCACCAGGAGTGATCCCTAAGCACAGAGCCAGGAGTGAGCCCTGAACATTGTCAAGACTAAATAAACAATCAAATTAAAAGCAGCGCACGAGATGCAGTTAGTACCAGCAGTAAGATACTCACCTTGAATGCAGCAGACTCAGGTTCAATCCTCAGCACTCCATCTGGTTCCCCAAACCCCTCAGAACCAGGAGTAAGCCCTGAGCACCCACAGGTGTGGTCCTAAAACCAAAACAAAGAGCAGCACATCTCCATAGCCATGGTGCGCCCGAAACAGAGAAGCGGACGTTCTGTTCCTGCCATTTGTGCTTGGACCTCACGGGGAGTTTTACACAGGAACCCTGGGTGTCTGTTTTGTAAACTTTCCACTCTTTGTTGGTTTGTTATTTGTTTCATATGTGCAGGTTCAGCTGCATTTTACATTCTGGGTTAGTAGATATGACTCAGAAATCAAGAAACCAGAGATAGCTCGAAGGGTTAATAAAGGCTCTACACATAGGAGGCCTAGGTTCCATCCCAGGTAACACCCTCAGGAGTGACTCCCTAGCATCATGCCAGGAGTAATCCCCAAGCAGTGCCATATATGGCCTCAAAACAAAAACAAAACAAACAGAAAGAAACTGAAATCTTATGTTATGGAATGAGAAACCTTGAAAGATCAGTAACCCTGACCTTGAGTAACTCCAGACTCTGGAGTAAAGTTAATATAGCCATTTACTCCCTGAAAAAAAATAAATGACAGAGGCTGGATAGTACAGTGGGTAGGGCATTTGCCTTGCATGCGGCCAACCCGGGTTCAATTCCCAGGATCCCGTATGGTCCCCCAAGCACTGCCAGGAGTAATTCCTGAGTGCAAAGCCAGGAGTAACCCCTGTGCATCACTGGATGTGACACAAAAGTATAAATAATTAAATTTTAAAAATGACAAGTGTTTCAACACACATGCTATAAGAATTAGGTAGGAGTTTTAATTACAAGTGTGGAATATTTTTATTACATTTCCCCAAAATTTTTAAAAAACACAGTATACATAAATTCTGTTTGGACTCTATGACTCTTTTAACCTGTGACCTAGGCGGAGAGGAAAAGGACATTAACATGCTAAAACAGATCAGTGCACATGTTTACTACCTTAAAATACCAAATAAGAGGACTGGGGATAAGGTACAGCAGTTAAGGTGCTTGCCTTGCATGTAGCCCACCTGGGTTCAATCCAGGCATCCCATATGATCCCCAGGAGTAATTTCTGAGTGCAGAGCCAGGAGTAACCCCTGAATACCTTTGAGTGTAGCCCAACTCCCTCCTTCCCCCCAGTGCATTGTGGGTCATTAGTAACACTGCTTCTGTTCCACCCGTTTTCTGCGATCAATTTTGCATTGATCATGAACATTTGCATGTTTTTCCAGCCATACATCCTGGCAGAGGAGCTACGACGAGAGCTGCCCCCAGACCAGGCTCAGTACTGCATCAAGAGGATGCCCGCTTACTCGGGGCCAGGCAGCGTGCCTGGTGCTCTGGATTACACCGCCTTCTCCTCTGCACTCTATGGGGAGAGTGATCTGTGAGGCCCAGGTTCTGTAATTGTTGATCCCAATCAGAACGCAATAAAAGCTCAAGCCGCGGTTGATTTCTTAGAAACTTTGACAAGCTTTATTAAGTTAAAAGAGAGAGAGAAAGGGGGAGAGAGAGAAAGAGAGAGAGAGAAAAATTTTTTTAAAAATAATGCCAGCAATGTAACCTGGCTGAAATTCAGTTTCTATAGTTATGTGGCAGTTTGCTTTGATAGGTTTCTTCTGAATTTTTTAGTTGAATGTGATGGAATGTCAGGTTGTTTGTTTCTTTGCTAAAACTGAACCGATTACTTCAGTAATATAGAATTAGGATCATCTCGGGGCAGAAGGAAACATTTTAAATGGGAAATTTCAAAGGTACAGAAGTTTAAGTCCAGGAGAAAAAAGTTGCTAACTTGCTAAATGTTTGCTATTTTTAAAAATATTCTTCATATCAGTATGCTTGTGTGATTCCCCCTAGGGGAATCCAGTTAGGGATATTAGTATTTTGCTTTCTTGACTATCCAAAGATTAATTGTGTTTAGTATAAATGGTATTATCATTTCTTTTAATGAATTTAATAGTGTGGGTGACACTTCCAGGGAATAGAAACAAGACTGCCTGAAAGATATTAAAAAAGAGAGAGAGAGAAGATTTAGTCTGCTCTTTGTTATTTAGACTGCATAATCCAATTCGTAGTTTCAATGCCTTATTTTTCCTCCAAAGTAGGGACCTCAGGAAACAGGAAGTCAATATAATGGTCAGGGTGGAAGGTAGAATCGCAAGATAAAGTGAGTTGTTCTTTTTTTAAGGTTATTTATCGATTCCAGGTTTTCTGCTTTTTCTAGAGCTTGTTAGGATAGCTTCTCAGGAGTTTACTGTGTATGGTTTGTTTTCACAAGAACAGGTATCTATAGTAATAGTTTATAGCAAATCAGAGAAACAGAACCCCAAGAGCTCTCTAGGTAGAATTCTTCATGCTTTTAGTTTGATGGTAGGGTAAGGATGAATCCCCAACAACAGTAGAGGTAAGTTCATCCATTGCAGAGCCTTTACATATCTTTAGGTGAATTCTTTTTTTGGTCTAGAAGGCATTACTAGAACTTTCAGCGAGCATTTGGCATGGCCTGTGCTCAGTGCTGTTATTGAAAAGTTCTGAGTCTGGCTATGTCTGCATCCAAAGTCCCATTGCAGAAGACATTATCATATGTGCTTCCAGCATTGTCTTCGTCTCTTCAGTGTTTATTCAGTTTTCTGCTGATGCTTACCTGAATATCACTCCCTGCTCTGTTTTGTTTCGTTTTTTTTTTTTCATCTTGTTGACAGCTTGTAGAGAATAAAGCAGGAATTCTTTTTATATCTGAGTCCTTAATGATAAGGACGTGAATTATAAACAAACAAAAACAGTTACAATAGCAATTCAAGTGTTAGAAAAATTAACAGTTAAGTGTCTATTACAAACAGCTATTTCCTAACAGCTGGAAATATATTTTTCTTTCATAACTGTCTGGTAACTTAATACATTTACCAAATTGGCCCATTTAAAACCTTGAAGCTTTTATAAATTTTGTTTCATTTGCTTAATTTTATTGTCATTGGCAAATTCCTGAAATGTCTGAGTACTTGAGTTTAATGCTGAATGCTTTTGGGATGGTGGTTAGGTGAATTCTGACTCCTTATTTTATTTCAAGCAGGTGCTATATTTTAGCCATATACATTAAGGCAAATCTGGGAAGTTGTTCTACCTTTGAGGGATTTGTGGTGTTTTATGATGGGAATAGGTAGCTTATCTACCTAAAATTTTAATATCTTTACAACACTCAGTCAAGAGAATGGATCGATACTGTTTGCTAATAAATGAAGGAAGTAAACTCTGAAAACACTTAATAAACATGTTTATACTCTCATTTCAGAAGTTATTTTTATTTCTGAAGCTGAATTATCCATTAAACTTAATTTGTAAAAGAAAAGGAGTCCTGTTTTTTATTCTTACAAACAGTAACTGATTTGTTAATCTGTTAATCTCATACTACCTCAATTAAAATTCCCCTCATATTTTAAAACTTTCATTGGCTTAGTATCTGCCTCCATTAAAGACATTCAGACAGATTTGTTGGGGAAAAGGGGAATTTGAGATGAGGTATGAGGGTGGAATCAATAGGAGGTGAGAGATGAATGTTTTAGGAGGTGAGTGGACTAAGAATGAAATTTTACCTAGTACACTTCAGAATCTCTGGTAAGGGGCTGGCGCGATAGCACAGCAGATAGGGCTTTGCCTTGCATGCAGCCAAGCTGGGTTTGATTCCCAGCATCCCATATGGTCCTCTGAGTACCGCCAGGTTTAATTCCTTCCTGAGTGCAGAGCCAGGAGTAACCCCTGTGCATTGCCGGATGTGACCCAAAAAGCAAAAAAAAAAAAAAAAAAAAGGAATCCCTGGTAAGTACTTAAAAACTGTGTGCAGCTCTTTCCACCATCTTAGATTCTCGTGGAGGCCTGGACTAATTAAATGACAGAAATGCCTGGAAGGCTGTGGTCCGAAAACATTTTTTCTGGCTATAAATGGGGTCTCTGGAGCCAGAGGGAACCCCCGGTTCTTCTTAAAATTGAATGTGTTTATGCTCAGGATAAAATGGAATTCTATCTGGGCAAGAGATGCACAGACGTGTACAAAGTAAAGAAGACCATAGTGACACCTGGTGGCAAACCTAACAAAACCAAAGTAACCTGGGGAGAGATAACTCATGACCCTGAAAACAGTGGCCTGGCCAAATTGCAAAAGATTCCAAAACAACCTTCCTGCTATAGAATCCATGTAATGTTGGGTACATCCTCAAGGCATTAAACTTATTGGAAAGTATATAAATAAAGTGTGTATCTGTTTCTCAGGGTTTTTTTTTTTAATTGTGTGTGTAGGGCCAGCGATAGCACAGCGGTAGGGCCTTGCACATGGCCGGCCCGGCCGACCTGGGTTCGATTCCTCCGTCCCTCTTGGAGAGTTCCGCTGGCAAGCTACCGAGAGTATCTCACCCGCATGGCAAAGCCTGGCAAGCTACCCGTGATGTATTCCATATGCCAAACACAGTACCAAGTCTCACAATGGAGACCTTACTGGGCCGGCTCGAGCAAATTGATGAACAATGGGAGGACAGTGCTACAGTGACAGAGTGTAGTGCCAGAGTGACAGTACAGCAGGTACGGCATTTGCTTTGCATGTGGCTGACCTGGGTTTGATCCCTGGCACCAACTAACACTATTCTCCCATTGTTCATCAATTTGATGGGGCGTTCCCAGTATGTCTCCATTGTGAGACTTGTTACTGTATTTGGCATATTGAATATGTCAGTCACAGGTAGCTTGGGTAGCTTGTCAGGCTTTGCCGTGAGGGCAAGATACTCTCGGTAGCTTGCCGGGCTCTCCGAGAGGGGCGGAGGAATCGAACCTGGGTTGGCCAGGTCAGCTGCATGCAAGGCAAATGCCCTACCACTGTGCTATCGCTCCAGCCCGCTCTGAACCCTCCAGGAGTGATCCTTGAGTGCAGAGCCAGGAGTAAGTCCTGAGCACTGCTGGGTGTAGCCCAAAAACAAAAACAAAAAAAAAGGAAAAAAAGAAAGAAAAGAGATTTTATACATACCCAACCTAAACCTAATTTCAATTTGTGAGATAAAAGACTGTTAAGTCTGAGTTAAGACTAAGACCTTTTTGTTTCTTTTAAAACTCTGTAGAAGATTCTAATACCCTTAGTTTAAAAACCTAAGGTTAGCTTAAAACCTTAGTTTAAAAACCCAAAGGTTGGGGGAAAGGCCATTAGTAATCAAAAAATGCTAAAATAAGAGAGAAGGTCTTGCTGGAAAGATAAATAATAGGATAATATGAATAGTCAGGCCAACTTCCATACCACCTGCTTGGCAACAGAAATGCTTGGCATTGTTATATTTGTTTCAGTGTTCTTTTTACTGTATATCTGACTCATTCATGTTCATAAAATAAGAAGATAAAGATGAATTCTCTATCATCCTTAAGTAAAAGGAAACAAATGCAAATGATACAAAGTCAGAAACTTAGAAGAATTTGCCAGTTGACATATTCACCCAGTTTCCCATGAATGTTCATCAAGAAAGCATTGAGTGTGCCCAGCTCTGGCCTTGAGCTTCTGCAAATTTTTGCACTTGCCTATGCAGTGTTTCTACTGTCCTGTTTAAGACAAATTTTCAAAGTTTTTCAAAATTCAGATGGAATCATCAGGGCAGAAGACAAGTTTCTTTTCCCCTTCAGACTCATTAATAAATACTTCAGTGCTTAAGCAAAAGACAGCCCATCATTCTTTGTAGACTGGGAGCTGGAGGGGATTATGACTTGTCAGTTAGAATCCTAGTTGAGGAGTCCTCAGGGCCATGAGGACTTTCTGAAGATATCTCCATAAAGAGCTGACTTTCCTTTTGGTAATAAGACAGAAGAGCAAAAGAAATGCTTGGGAATCCAGTGGGACACATTGCAAATTCTTTTGTATAACTGGGAACTTTGGGGAAATCAGTGCCGCATCAACAGCCAGTCAGGATATGTCCCTTTTAAAATTTGCTTCCACAGAGGGAGAATATTACCTATAGAAATAGTTTTAGAAGACAAGACACACCGTCTGAATGACCCAGTATGAACAATGAGATGTTATTATGGCCAGCATTTAATTGCATCATTCTAAAATTGATCTAGGTGACCAATCGCCAACACTAAGAAACTCAGCCCTCACCAAAATTACTTTCTCCTTCAATTGCATACCTCCCACGCAGGAGTGTTCAAAACCTTCATACTGCCCTAAAACTCAGGCCTCTCTATGGAGCATTGCCAGAAACATTTTCCCCTGATCTGTTTTTACCTCCAACTCATTCCACCAAGACACAGACTCCTTTGGAAAGCTGCAATTTACAAACATTGATCTATCCTCTTCTCCACTTAAATCCTTTAATCATCTCTCTTATCTACTTAATTTTTTTTTATCATCTTCCGGGAGCTGGGTTTTATAGTCTCTGGGTCTTGGCCGTTAACGGGATTACAGGGCTCCGGGGGCAGTTGGTGGCTGTAACACCTACACACTGGAAGATGGGGGATCTGGGTGGAGGAGGCCCAGTCCCGATCCAAGCAGGCGTGGAGATCTAAGTCCTGGGTCCCGCACACCTGGGTTCCTCTGATGGTTCCTTCATGCGTGAGGCTCATCTGAACGTGTTGAGAGTGGTCTTAAGCATGGCTGTGGCTAGAACCGGAGATCTTCAGCTGCCGGGGCTCTACTCGGGGCAGAATCACCTGACTCCGCACCTGGCCGTCCTCATGGGGCCCCTTGGAGGAAGGTGGGTTGAGCTTCCCCCCCTGCCCCGAGCGGAGCCCCGGCAGCTGAAGACCTCCAGTTCCAGCCACAGCCATGCTTAAGGCCTCACACATTTGAGAAATGTACTGTACCAATGAGCATCACTCCCGGGACCCCATCCTTATCTCTTTTTGAGCCTTTGAAGTTTGTGATTTGAATTTTCCTCCCTCATACCTATCTGTTCTTCAATAAACCTAGTTGAAGCTTATACTTGTTAAGTCAACAAAACTTTTCATTCAGCATAGGTGTCCTTAGGATCCTCCTTAGATGCATAGAGAACCAAATAAACAATAATGACCTTGAACTCTTATATGAAGATAAAATAGAACAATTCTTGAGGGTACCTTTCACATTTTTGGTAGTACTTTTCACATTTTTTCCTGCTATTTTGGGAAGGTCAGTGTTAGAGGACACTGCCAGTGAACAATGACCCTTATTGTCTCTCCCGTTAGAATTCTGCTTACATCACTCTGTACTAAGAACATCACCTACTGGATTCTTCCCCTCCCTGTTCCCTTCCCCACACCTCTGCCTCTCTCTCTTTCTCTCTTTCTCTCTCTCTCTGCCTCTCTCACTCCCTCCCTCCCTCTCCTTCTCTCTCTCCTCTCTCCTCTCTCTCTCTCTCTCTCTCTCTCTCTCTCTCTATCATCCTATGAATGTAAGTAGAATGGCTGGTTAGAAAGAACTCAAGGCCATCCTCTCTTTTTCATACATGTTCGTTTTGATTGGTTGGTTTTAAGGAGTCATACCCAGCAATGTTAGTGTTACTCTTTGCTCTGTGCTCTCAGGGATCACTCCTGGCAGTTCTTAGGAGAACAAACGGGGATATGGGGATAGAACTTGGGACAGCCATGTGCAAGGCAAGTGCCGTACCTGGTTGACTGTCTCTCTTGCCCCAGACCATGCTCTCTTAAAAAGGGACTTTGGGATCCAGAAAGAAAGTCAGAACACACAGAAGAGCTCTGATATCAAAGAAAGGTAAATTATTAAGTTACTTGTTTTTTTAACATGTAGAATTAATCCAAAATAAATCACAGTTACATCTAGCATTTTATGCTACTATAGTATATTTTTCGACCTGCTGATTTCAGCTCATACCTATTAGATATCCCACTAATTACATAGCTTATTTGAACAGCAGATAGGGAATTTGCCTTGCATGCGGCCGACCTGGCTTTGATTCCTCCACCCCTCTCGGAGAGCCTGGCAACCTACCGAGAGTATCCCACCCGCACAGCAAAGCCTAGCAAACTACCCGTGATGTATTCGATATGCCAAAAACTGTAAGAAGTCTCACAATGGAGATGTTACTGGTGCCCGCTTGAGCAAATCGATGAACAATGGGAGGGCAGTGCTACAGTGCTACATTTTTATTCAGACATTTACTTTTGTCATTATGTATTCTATTTCTAAAAATGTATAAGATATCTTTTATTAATTGTTTATTTTGGGGTCACTCTCAGTGGTGCTAAAGGGCTGTCCCTCCCACGATGCTGGCGATCAAACCCAGGGCTCCCACGTGCAAAACATGCAGTCCAGACCTTTATGTC